AATTAATATGATAATAACTTCTTTTCCTTTTTCTTTTTTGAATTAAACTCGCGGTGGAGATGCAGAACACATGAGTTTTAAAACAAGCCTCGATTAGAAATACATCAAGATTGAATACCGGCCTGTTGATCTTTTAAGGAAGAAATTGACAAAGAAACTAACACACGAAAATGTGGACATGTGGTCCAAACCTCATAACAACATTTATGAATTAAATACTTGTTTCCAAAGATAGGGTGATGTTCAATTTCTATCACGAACATTGAGAGTTTTGGTTTGAGTTTGACTCTTTATATATATATATATATATATATATATATATATATATATATATATATATTAAAAAACTATATAATTTGGTGTTAAATTTTGAAACTAAATTAACTTAGTTTAATTTTTTGTGGTTGTAATCATATCATACTGTTTAAGATATGATTCAGCAAAGTCGAAAACTTAGGTTATTAGAAAAGAATTTAAGGTTGCAAGATGGAAGGATTTAGAAGCATTAGTTAATGAAGACGCCATGATCCAATCAAGTGACGACGAAACTTGGCCCTACTTTCAACTTGCCAACGGAACGCTTCAAAAATTCCATGATGATCATTATAGTCATTATTGTGCAAAATGAATACATCCATTACTGCTTATTAAATCGATCAAATAATACATGAACTTAACTTAATGGTTCAATAGATAATATTTAGGAGAAAAGACCAAGGTTTGAATTTTGGTGGCGATAGTGTGGGGATTATATTCAAATTAGACAGATCCTTTGTACACACCAGCATTTGACCATGTCTGAACTATTGAATCACCGTGATTTACCTCATTTCAAATGCTGGGTTGGAGATTCAATCTTTGGGACTTTTTTTTCTTTAAAAAGCTTAATATATTATAAAATTAAGCATTATGTATTTCCAAAAGTAGATATGCAACCAGATACAAAAATGATTAAACATATACAATTCAAGCACAAAATATGCAATAATAATAATAATAATAATAAATAAATAAATAAATAAATAAATAAAAATAAAATAAAATAAAATTCCTTTTGAAAATTATGACATGGGTACCCTATGTATAAAAGGACATTTTTCAATGACAAAAAACTATTGTATAGTACCTACTATAATAATTAGAAAAGGATAGTGATACTGCTGTAAAAGACTATTATTATTTTATTTACAAATGCAACATCTTTTTGAATTTTTTTAATAATAGTAAGCATAATAATTTTTTAATATCATATAATTTTTCACGCATACGATATTTTTTAATTAGCTTCAAATTTAAAAAGGTACTTTTGACAATATCATATTAGATCATACATAAAGACACAATTAGTCTTACAAATTAGTTGGCAAAACATTATTATGATTTAAATTATGTCCTCTTTCTCAAAATAAAAATAAAAATTATGTCCTTTATATATTAGTTTGAGTCATCAGTCATCACCTCGATGAATTAACCCTATCTTGCATGCAAATCTTGTGAGGGTAATTGGCAATGTTTCGTGTAAATATGTAATCATTTCATATTTCATTCCCTGCTAGTAACTAATATATATATATATATATATATATATATATATATATATATATATATATATATATCAGGGTTGTAAAAATCCCGCCTAGGCACCGAGTAATCGGCGCCTAGGCGCTAGGGGCCCCTTGGCCGTGGCGATTTTCCCCCTAGGCTCCCGCCTAGGAAACCGGCCGCCTAGGCACCCGCCTAGCGCCTAATTCGGCCGCCTACGCCGAGTTAACTCGTCAATTTCTGTCGAAGTTAGCCGAGTTAACCCGACCGACTCGACTCGATCTTGTTAATTTTTTCCATTTATATGACATATATATATATATATATATATATATATATATATATATATATATATATATATATATATATATATATATATATATAATATGACATATATGCACCTACACACTTGCACTATTTTTCTTTTTTTAGTTAGCCGCCTAGGCCGCTTAGGTCCCGCCTAGGCCGTCTAGGCGCTAGGCGCTACTATACCGCCCGACTAGCGCCTTGCGCCAATTGCAACCATGATATATATATATATATATATATATATATATATATATATATATATATATATATATATATATATATATATATATATATATATATATATATATGGATGCACTCAAGTACGAATAAGTGCCCAGGAAGGAATATGCGATTGAATCAGCGCGCGACACGTGTCCAGATCTAATAACTTAAAAAAATACGGTGGCATTTTCGTAAATAATTAAACATCAAAGTGCAAGTAAAATCACTTACAAGTGCACCTACTTTCACCTATAAGTGCATGTAATTTTGCCTTGTTAGCACTCACTTCCCGCAAACATTCATGCATCTGGGTGTGCTTATAACTATAGGTGCAACTATTTATAACTATAGGTGCAACTATTTATAACTATAGGTGCAACTATTTATAACTATAGGTGTAACTACTTATAACTATAGGTGCACCTACTTTCACCTATAAGTGCATGTAATTTTGCTTTGTTAACATTCATTTATCTGAGTTCAGCGGGTAGTAATACCCCTGAAAACCACCCGCAAACATTCATGCACCTAGGTGCAACTACTTATAACTATGTGTGCAACTACTTAGAACTATATGTGCAACTACTTATAACTATAGGTGCACTTAGTATTGATGCTTAGTGTAAATTTTTACTTGCACCTATAATACATTTTACAGGCACTTGTAATACATTTTACTTGCACTTCGATGTTCAATTATTTACGAAAATGTCACCTCGCACTTTTTAAAAAAAAATCAGTGTTTCTCATCTATTAGATCTGGACACGTGGACGGACAGAATCCATTCCTATTTCGCGCCTGGGCGAAGCATTCGCACCTGAGTGCGATTCTATATATATATATATATATATATATATATATATATATATATATATATATATATATATATATATATATATATATATATATATGGTTGAGTTCAGATGAGGACAACAATATATAGAGGACTGTGAGGACAAATAATGGGCACACAACAAATTACTATCATGCACACAAGAATACATGTAAGCATCAGGTTTCGAACCCAGGCTCCATTAATTAACAAATGTATGCACGCGACATACAAACTGTGGTACACGACATACAGACTAATGGCACACACTATATCTGTCCTCACAGTCCTCTATAATATACTTGTCCTCATTTGAACGCAAGTCTATATATATATATATATATATATATATATATATATATATATATATATATATATATATATATATAATAAGCCCTCAAACTTTACCTAAAAAGTCAATTAATAAGCCCCTAAATTTTTTAAAGTAGCAATTGAACCCATCAACATTGAATTTTGGTGCAATGAAGTCCAATAACCGATTAGTGACCTGCTATCACAGGTCACTAGGGTTTTGGTCAACATTCGGCCAACTCCGGTGACATTTCCGACAACATACGGGTTCGTTAACGGGTCGACACGAACACGATAAGGCTAAACACGGACACGACACGTTAAGGTTAACGGGTTCAAATTTTTAACACGAACACGAATACAATTTTTTAACGGGCTAAACGAGTTGACACGATAGACATGTTTTGTTAACAGGTTTCGGGTCGTGTTGATACGATATGACACGAAACCCGTTTAAACCCACTAAACCTATTAATATATTAAAATAAAAAACTAAAATTTAAAATTAAGTTATATAAAAAAGAAATAAAACCTAAATATCAACCCATCAAACAAACTAAAAAAATATTCAATTTATAACATTTATAAAATGATAAAATGACATTCAAAAATTATAATTAAAGAAGTCCAGGCTAGTTTTTAGAATAAAATTGAACGCAATAAAAATTCAAATTTCAGATTGTTGAACATCAATAATTGGGGTAGGATCTTGGCTTAATGTAGTAAATTTATTCTTAGTCATGTTCATGATATCTTTTATAATCTCATTCATGACAATTTTTTTTTTTGGTGAATAATCTCATTCATGACAATGGTTCTTACCTAAATGACAATAATTCTTAACGGGTTATAAACATGCATGTTTGTGTAAACGAGTTAAACGGGTTGACCTGTTAAGACACAAAATATAATGGGTCTTTAACGGGTCAACCCGTTAATGACTCGGGACACATTAAGACTAAACACTAACCCGTTATTTTCGTGTTCGATTTCATGTCGTGTCCATAATTACCAGCTCTACGTGGACTTTATTGGAGCTTTTCAATTAAGTAATTTAATTATATTGCACTATTTATTAAACTTAAGTGACTAATTTGACTTTTTTTTCTTTCTTTCTTTATATTTGCATAATCATCAACTCATATTTTAATAATACAATGTTAGACTTGACCCCTTCAAACTTTGCTTTTAAAACGTGTGTAAATCCTCTTAAATGGAGATAAAGATTGTGTATAAGTATGGGTATCTATGAGTGAAATATTACAGATCAGATGATTTAATGCATTGACTAATTAAGTTGGGTTTAACCCACCCTTTCCAATGACCATTACATTACACGCAACAACCGTGTGCACAATGTATGGTGTACACGATTGAAAAAACGACGTCGTTTTGACTAAAAACGTGCGTCCCACTTAAAAAAAAAAAATCAAGTTTGATTCTCGGCAATAGCATTTTTTTTGCATAATTTGAATTATATATCCACAAATTCATAAGTATATATCCACAAATTCATAACTATATATCAAGATTGAATGAATAACACAAAATCTAGAATGAATGAACTAAATATATATCCACAATGAATGAACTTAATACTGTTGAAAGAAATCGAAATTGATTTTTTTTTTTAAATGGGATGCGCGTTTTTAGTCAAAACGACGTCGTTTTGCAACCGTGTGCACCATAGCATAACTATTGTACACATTACATATCTTAAAACTCAATCAAATCCAATTAAAAAGCGCAGCGCCACCAAATTTGCGTATGGGCATAGTAACAACCACTTGAGTGTCTTACCTCTTCATTCATTCTCTCTTAGCTTTTATTCCAAGTTTATGGTTCGTTCTGCATTTCTTCCAATAATCATGAGATAAACTCGCTTAAGCTAGTTTCAATTTGTTTTCTTTATGTTTTTTTGTCCTTCAATTCTGATATAATAATAATAATCCTCTCAGCCATATATATATATATATATATATATATATATATATATATATATATATATATATATATATATATATATATATATATATATATATATATATATAAACTAGCTTTTGCTTAGCTTATTGATTGATTAGCGTTGTTGGGTGTATATAGATGGGACGCCATTCTTCGGGTATGGTGAAGCAGAAGCTAAGGAAAGGTTTGTGGTCGCCGGAGGAAGATGAGAAGCTGTACAATTACGTCAGGAAATTCGGCGTCGGATGTTGGAGCTCTGTTGCTAAACATGCTGGTAACCATTATTATATTTATTATATTATCCCTTCCACTCACTACTATCTCACGCTTTTAATTTCCAATTACATGATCAGTGTGATCGAGTATGGTGGAGTTATATCACCTGTAAAAACAAAAAACATAGCTGCATCTAGCTCAACGAATACTTGATTCACATATAAGCATAATCAGCTAATTTAAAAACTTTTACTTTTTCAGCTTCTAGTTTATAGTTTTTCAGTTTTCAACTACTTTTCAAGTTTCAATTAATTTTTCAATTAGGTTTGCTAAACATAGTCATAGTGAACCTTAATGGAGTGTTTGGTTGGCATGAATTGCATTGGCATTGAATTACAAGTTAATGAAATGATAAACTACATTGTTTGGTTGGAGGGAATTACAATTCTCTCAATTCATTGAATTGCAATTCATGGGTCCCCCTATGAATTGCAATTCAATGAATTCATCCATACAATGAAAAGGGGAAAGGAAGGAAATGACATATTTGTCTTTTGAATGTTATTATTAATAGAGAAAATGGTCAAATAGTCCCTTAAACTTTACCCCAAAGGCCAATTAGGTCCCTAAAGTTTAAAAAAGTGCAATTAAACCCTCAAGCATGTCAAATTGGGTCAATGATGCCCAAAAATCGATAAATGACATGTTATTATAGGTCATTTCAATTCCAGCGACGGATTTTGGCGACCAGCGACGAATTCCGGCCACCGACGACAATTTCCGATCGTCTTCCACTAAAGAAGACGACCAGACGGTCGTCTTCTCCAAGAGAGGACGATCAGATCTGGTCGTCTTCTCCAATGGATAAGGCGACTGTCCGGTGGTCTTCTCCAATGGAAGACGACCGGACGGCCGGAAATTGTCGTCGGTCTCCGGAATTCGTCGCCGCAATTGAAATGACTTGTAATAACAAGTCATTTACCGATTTTTGAGCTTCATTGACCCAATTTGACATGTTTGAGGGTTTAATTGCACTTTTTTTAAAGTTTAGGGGCCTAAGACCATCTCCAACCCAAAACACCAAATTTTACACCAAAAGGAATATTCGCAAGCATATTCTTACACCAAATATTTTTCATCTCCAACCCATTTACACCAAATTTTATTCCTACACTAAAATAATTTATATTCTCATAAATTAAAAGTTTATATTTATACTTTTATTATTTTAATATAACATATAATTGTAATTTAATAAATTAAACTTTAATTATGTTTTTTATGTAATCTTATTTTTAATTAAATTATATTCAATATTAGTCTTGTTTTAATCGTCGAGATCTTTCAAATGATATAATTTTTTTAAAATAATATACAATTTATTTTTAAATATTTAACAAAATATGTAAATATATAAAAACCAAAAAGGATACAAAAGGAATTTAAAAAAAAAAAAAAAAAAAAAAAAAAAAAAAAAAAGGGGCATAATAGGAAGAAAAAATTAATCCTGAAAATAGCGTGGATGAACAGTGCCACGCCATATATGGCGCGGCACTGTTCATCAACACCAAATTAGTTGGTGTTTTACCGTTCCGTTGGAGAGCTTTTTTTTGCTGCTTTACGGCAAAATTTTTGGCAATTTAAGGGTTTGCCGTCTCCTTGGAGATGGTCTAATTAACCTTTGGGGTAAAGTTTAGGGGCTTATTTGACCCTTTTCTCTTATTAATATTATTACATAAGGGTATTTTAGTCTTTATATCACTTCTCTCATTTCCATTATTTCTTCCCACCAAACAATGTAATTATAATTCCCACTTTATTCTCAGCTTATTCTTTTCCCACCGAATTACAATTCTTTTCCCCCTTCATTCCTTCCTTCCAACCAAACACCCTGTAAATTCATATGTTCTGAATGCGTACGTAGGACAACATATTCAATAGGTATAGATTTAGTCAGTGATGGACATTATTACGGTTCATAGTGGCCCTATTTGGTAAAATAGTTTGCCTATAGATAAATTTTAATTTATTTATCACTATTAGTTCTTTGACGGGTTAAAAAGTCAATATAAGTGTTTGGTTAATTAACTTTTTGTAATTCCAAAATGCTAAAATTCAAAAAACCACTCAAAGCAACTTTTCAATTAGCTTTTAGATAAAAGAAATTATACTAAAGAGCTATCAGCTAACAGTTAATTTACCAAACACATTTCTACAATAAACTAATGTTATCAACTAGTTATACTCTCTATTTAACCCAATCAGCTAACAGCTAACAGTCACTTACCTAACCAGGCCGGTGTGCATTTTGATAGTTACTAAAATTTATCATGTATTCGAATTATGCAATTGTAGAATTTCGCATTAAATTGCAGAACGGGAATTCTTAATTCTAAAAGTCCACGGCAAAACCAAAATAAATAAAATATAAAATAGTATTAAAAAAAAAAAAAAAAAAAACAGGCTATGTTTGGAAACCTAAAAAATGATTTCTGAAAATTATTTTTTGGGTTTTTGGTGTTTGGCTACACTTAAAAAAATCCAATCAACGGAAAACATTTTCTGTTGACAGGGGAAAATGTGCTCATTTTGACAAAAAGACTTCCGCCACATTCAACGCATGGTCGTTTTCGGCAGAAACTAGACCTCTGATTTCCGTCAGAAACTCCAGTGATTTTTTATTATTATTATTTTTTTTTTTTGTTTTAAGTTTTTGGTAATATCCAGAAACCCCATTGATGTTTTTTTTTTAAAGGTTCTGGAGGAAACCTCTTTTTTTTTTTTTTTTTTTTGAGTTTCAAACCTAGTGGTAATATAAAAAGTATTTTTATATTTTAAAAAATAATTAAAATATTTAATTATATAGTTCTACTCATTTTTCAGAAAATGAATAAAACAAATCAAAATAGTTTTTCAGATGCAACCAAACACTAAAAAAGAAAAATATTTTTAAAAAATGACTCATTTTTCAGAAATCATTTTCTACTTTCTAAACGGACCCTAAAAGTACGTACATGTTCGCCCGAGAATTACCATCTGCAAACTTAAATCAAGTATGAGTATCCTTTGTTGCATGCAATTACTATTTTTGATCGTATGAAACTTAAATCCAGACTAAACTACACTACTCCGTAGCTTGTTAAAAAAAAAAAAAAAAAAAAAAAAAAAAAAAAAAAAAAAAAAAACGAAAATTTTGTGTTGCATTACGGACAGAAGAGATGGGGATCAATTAATTCAAGATTCAAAGTAGATTTAATTGCTTTGTTTAATGAGTCGTGCTAAATTTTCTAGCAAAAATTATTATTACATGAGATTTAGGTTGTGTTTGGTAAATGGTTGTTAACTGTTAGCTGTTAACTGATTGGGTTAATTAAAATGTATAATTAGTTGATAATATTAATTGATTGTATAAAGGTATTTGGTAAATTAGTTGTTAGCTAATAACTGTTTGGTATAATAATAATAATAATAATAATAATAATAATAATAATAATAATAATAATAATAATAATAATTCAAAGAGCCAATCGAAAAAGTTGCTTTGAGCACCTTTTTGAATTTTAGCATTTTGAAGTTATAAAAAGGTAATTAACCAAACACTTATATTGATTTTTAACCAATTCAAACAATTAATAGTGGTCAAATAAGTCAAAATTGGCTGATAAACTAACTATTTTACCAAACATGGCCTTACTATCCGAATAGTTATGCCACGGATCGGGGTCCACCTTGCAAGGTAAATTTGGGTTATATTCACAATTTTTGAACTCTATATTCACAAATTTAGAAATGCATATTCACAACCAATGATTATAAATATTCAATTCTATAATTGAGAATATAGAGTTCTGTAACTGTGAATATAGCGTTCAAAAATTGTGAATATAGAGTTCAAAAATTGTGAATATAGAGTTATGCAATTGTGAATATTGAGTTTTGTAATTTTGTGTATTGAGATCTAAAATTGTAAATATGCACTTCTAAAATTGTGAATATAGAATTCAAAAATTGTGAATATAACCCGAATCCACCTTGCAAGCTGGACACGGGTCCACGGCATAATTTGCCTTAGTATCTCTTATTATTATACTTTAGATATCTTTTTGAATTTAGGATCCCTTTAAAAATTAAAAAAAAAATTCTAAAAAATGGATCATTTTCTAAAAAATCAATTCACTTTTTGGATTATGGGCTAGGTCAGGCTGAGTCAAGATTTTTATTGTTTGGTCCAACCTGATCAAACCACATATTTTAACTGGAATAGCACAATCCAATTTAAATAATAACTAGATAAACTACAGGTCAACTCGCTCATTTGACACCAAAGAAAGAAAGAGAATTGAGTATGAGATAAGAATCTATAAAATATCTTCCGTGTAAAAAAGTTGAAAAATATTTTTCACCAAAATGAGTCATTTTTTCTTTGACCGGAATGAGTATTTTCTTTTTCTTTCATTACAAAATCTAGAAAATAACTTCCAAAGACCCTTAATAATTATTCCGGCCAGTTGATGATCTCAAACAAGAAACAAAGTCTAAAGGACAGTGAATGTAAATCTTTCCAAAATACTAAATGGTATAATAGATTTATTAAATTAATTTTTCAACAAAGCACCAACGTGTTATATTGATATCTTAACTAATTAGTTTTGAAGATTTCTAGAGATTATAAAACGCAAACGAAGTTTATGTCTCATTCTAAGTTTGTAAAATGTTTTTTTTTTAAGAGTAAGTTTGTAAAATGTTAATTACACACAAGTTTTGTGATTCGGTTTGAAATTAAAATTAGTTCGAAAAGTACCAAAAGATAAGTGCAATGCGCGCTAGAAAGTAAATAGAGTAAGGATACATAAATATAGATTTTATATATAGTGTAATTATTCAAATTTCTTATTTTCTTTTTCAATTAGAAAAAACTTCATTTTATACAGTTTCTCCTATCAAATACAATAATGAATTGAAATTAGTCTTTGGCGCTTTGATTAGCTTTTTCACAAGTTTCACCAAACTTGTTATTTTAGCTCTTTCTACTTCACTAAGTAGAGTTTCTCTCTCTCTCTCTCTCTTTTGTACCCCTTAAGATTGTTTGACCGACCCTTCAACTTGTTCACTCAAGATCTTGATAAATCATACCGTCAAAGCTTGACTGAGTATATTTGAACTTTGAAGATTTGCTTGATATAATCTTTTTGAGCACTTGTATAATTCTATAATTGTAAGATTACTCAAGTTTCAATTTAAGGTTTTTACTCTCTTCTTTGAAATACCTTCCGCTCCATTTATACTTGAATTTTGTATTTGTCCGTTAGAGGGTAGACAAATTCCAATTTTCTTTTTAGTTATGAATATTAATATTAACTATTGGACATTGGTATGTTGCAAATTATTCTAACATGCATTAAGAGCAACTACATGAGTGAAGAGTGGTTTTTGTTTTTGTCAATTTTTGTGCGGTCATAGCTTATATGAAGGAAAGAGAACAAACAAGAGAGAAAATTGAGTTAGTCCGATAAAAACAAATTTTTTTGTGAGGTACATGGGCAGAAAACAAAATTAATAAAAAATAAAAACAAAAACGCAACTTCCTGGTGCGCATTTAGCTCACCAGGAACGTGCAGTGCACACACTAACTAGGTGCGTAAATTTAATTTTTTTTCTTTTTTTCTTTTTTTTTTTTCTTTTTGTCTCCTCTCCCTAGTTGGCTGGGTAAAAATTTTAAAAAATAAATAAATAAATAAAATAAAATAAAAAATTCTATTGAGATTGCTCTGAAGTCTGACCATCATTTATGGCATTGCCACCTCTCTCTCCAATCACTAGCTCTCGTATCACTGGCCTCCAATCTCCATCTCTAACGTGGCCGCCACCATCTCTCTAATTTTATTAATTCATATTATATTTAGTTTATGGTATTATAATTTATTTAGTTATTAATGATTGTTATCTCTTAAGTAATTAACATTAGTATATTGAATTTTGAGATTATAATTTATTACGGCCATGTTTGGTAAATGGCTGTTAGCTGATTGAGTTAATTAGACGGTATAACTAGATGATAACATTAGATGATTGTAGAAACGTGTTTGATAAATTAGCTGCCAGCTGATAACTGTTTGTTATAATTTCTTTTCTCAAAAAGCTAATTGAAAGTGTTGATTTGAGTAGTTTTTTGAATTTTAGCATTTTGGAGTACAAAAAGCTAATTAACCAAACACTTATATTGATTTTTAAACTAAGTCAAACAACTAATGATGGTCAGATAAGTCAAAATTGACTTATAGGCTAACTATTTTACCCAGGGCCAACATTATTTTTCTCAAAAATTGAACTTTTAAAATGAAGTTGGAAAAAGAAAATTTAGAGAATTAGAAAGCTAGATAAATGAAAATATTGATAAACCCATGTAGTGACTTTAGCAGAGAAATTAAATTAGCATTATATTTTCTTTTTTTCAAATATGTATGAGACATTGTATATTAATTTCTTTTGTCATTTTGCGATGATATATATATACATGCAGGTTTGCAAAGATGTGGGAAGAGTTGCAGATTAAGATGGATAAATTACCTAAGACCGGATCTCAAAAGAGGACTGTTCTCACCAGAAGAGGAGGATATCATACTAGGTCTTCATGAAGTCTTGGGAAACAAGTAATTTAATCTATATCCATAAATATTAGGAAATTATTTTTAATAAAAAATAATAATAGAATATACTAACGGTCTATAATATATGGCAAAAACTTATGTATGTGGAAGTGTCCGTGAGACTGGTTGGATCGAGTCAAAATAAAAATATAATACTAATCAAGAATATATTTTTTAACATAAATATTACATTTTTATCTTGACCCGACTCATCTCCACGAAATCACTGAATATATAATATGGATAAGGATAATTATTTTCCATATATATTTAATATTTTTGAGAATGGCATGCATGCAGGTGGGCACAAATTGCAGCAAGACTACCAGGGAGAACAGATAACGAGATAAAGAATTTCTGGAATTCATGTCTGAAGAAGAAGCTGATAAAGCGAGGGATTGATCCAAACACCCACAAGCCGATCATAACACAAACAATCAACACTTCATCATCATCATCAAAGAGTTGCGCAGAAGATCACAATAATAATTCTTCAACCATTATCCCCAAACCCACACTCCCATTAAACTTCTCCGAATTCGAGCAAGCCCTTCGCCCAGAACCTCAAGCCTTCGATCCTCTCTTCCTCTACAATTCAGAGCAGTATTGTCATGGGTTCAGTACATTACTGCCAAGTTTAGAGAATTTTGAGAATATGAGCAGCAGCAGCAACATCATGGTTAATAATAATAATGGAGCAACGTTTCCAAATTGGGAAACTTGCGAGAACAACAACAACACGGCGGATTATTCTGTGTCGGCGGCTCATCATCAGTTCCCATTCAGTGCCAAAAGTGAGGGGTGTTCATGGCTGCAAGAAGGTCTTCATCATCGTCACAGCCCAGATCATGATTTCTCTGAATATTCATTGCCTGCTTTGCCTCAAGATTTGAGTGGGGAGGAAAATAATCTTGAATTCTTCATGTCTTGCACCAAATTTAATCTGTAAACTATCTGTATTTTTTGGAGTTTCTTTTTTTTTTTTTTTTTTTTCATTTTCATGGGATCTTCGCACGAGCTTAGTTCACTGTTTCAGGAGACAGTGGAAGAAGAAGCTTGTATGCAGACAAACATATAGAGGTGCAGTGTTTAAGATCATGGATGGGAACTTTGAGGGAGTTGATGAGGTAGCAGTGAGAATTCTTTATATATATACTTCAATTATTATAATTATTGTGCTAGATTTAATTTGTCAAAATTTGTATTCTTTCGATCTGGGAAGATCAGAGTTGGATTGAGATTAATAAAATATTTTACAATTCCAAACATTATTAGTCCAAGCTACTTTTTATTTTACAAAAATTTATGTGAGATTAAATTGTTTTAGGTAAGAGGGATCTTAAATATGTAATTTTTTTTAAGTAAAAATGTTCCTAATATATTTTTCTATAAGCTAAGTCATCACAAGTATAACATTTTATTCTCATTGGATTACTTTGCTTACTTGTTCTTTCAAAAGTAGTATGAGTAAAAATGTACTCCGTAATACTTAATGATCATGAACGAGTAAAATGTTTAAAGGGGTGAATAGATTTTTAAAACATTTTCAAAAGTGTAGTTAGGGTATAAAATTTAACTAAAAGTATAGTAATATAATTAATTTTATGCGATAAAAACAAAAGACTAGGGTGTCCATTCTTACCAAACTCTACGGAATTGCAATTCCATGATTTGGTTGAAAGAAATTGCAATTCTACAGAATTATTACAATTCCCTCCCATCATGAAATTACAATTATTAGGGATCTCGATAAGAATTTTGCAATTCTACACTTTGTTAGGAATTGATAACTGATTTATAACTATACAAATCCAACTAGGCATGTGCACCTATATCCTTTTTTTTATATAGAAAAGTGAGTAAGAGTTTTGTATCCAACAACGAAAATGCGTACTAGTACTAACCATGATCAAGTCATAAAATGTGTTGATGAATCAATTAACTAATCTATACTATATATAAAAACAAAATTCTGAAATTTTAACTTCCCGCCCAATTCCTAAAAAATCTCTCTTCCTAATAAAATATATTAAATTCTACTTTCCCAATTCGTACAATAATTCTGCGTTAAAATTCTATTCTAATATTATAAAATAGTGTGATACAATCTATACTATATATAAAAACAAAATCCTGAAATTTTAACTTCCCGCCCAATTCCTAAAAAATCTCTCTTCCTAATAAAATATATTGATTTCTACTTTCCCATTCGTACAATAATTCTGCGTTAAAATTCTACTCTAATATTATAAAATAGTGTCATACAATCTATATCTATACTATATATAATAAAAATAAAATCCTGAAATTTTAACTTCCCGTCCAATTCCTAAAAAATATCTCTTTCCTAATAAAATATATTGATTTCTACTTTCCCATTCGTACAATAATTCTGCGTTAAAATTCTATTCTAATATTATAAAATAGTGTGATACAATCTATACTATATATAAAAACAACATCCTGAAATTTTAACTTTCCGCCCAATTCCTAAAAAATCTCTTTTCCTAATAAAATATATTGAATTCTACTTTCCCATTCGTACAATAATTCTGCGTTAAAATTCTATTCTAATATTATAAAATAGTGTAATACAATCTATACTATATATAAAAACAAAAGTTCGGCAAGGCATAACTTTTTTCTCCGTTGTCCATTTTGTACAAATGTTTTTTTGAAATCGTGTATTTTTTCGAGATCTATCCACCGCAAACTGCCGTAGGCGGTTTGGCCCACCAATTTCTAAAAAAAATACTTTATTAAAGAGTTTCTAAGAAAAAACTATGAGAACCTTATGTTTTATTAATGAATTTTAAAATTTTTTAATTAAACAATTGTCCCGTGCATTATTTAATAATCTTTCTTTATAATTGGTCAAATTATTTAATTATGGTAAATTTGGAAATAATTAATGATGGTAATAGAAATCCTAGAAGAATATAGAATTGAACAATATTTAATTATTGTTATATTATTATTTTGACTCACGGTATTTCTGTCTTTTCATGTTCTAATCCTTGTATTTCTCCATCCATTGGTCACTGCTACATCTATTTCTTCAAACTGAGGTTATCCGCTTCAGTCCTTTCTAACATTAAGAAACTATCTTCACCCAACTAACAATCACGAATTTTACATTTGACATCAATCTCAAGATAATGGAAACAAGTGCAGTTGGAATAGAAAGGGCGTTAGTCCATGCCTGTGGAAATTTTGTCGAGCATACAACATAACTAGCAAAGTCAGGAATATCACCCAACCCCTCCCTTAACCTTTCTGCATAAACTATAATAGGTATGCCCCTACTATTTGCCTCCTGCACTACAATCAAAGCAGTCTCATGCAGCCTTCAATCTAAGTAGACAATATTTACTCCAAGCGCTGAAGACAATTTTGATTTGGGTATGTAGACCCTCAGATATCATGGGTGGATATCCTGGAGTGAAAATGCACGTGCGAGTTTTTTTTTTTTTTTTTTATTGTCAACAATGACATATGTGAATGGTGAGTTTCCTCCTTTGGACACCACCATAAAAGATGTATCAACACCATCCCTTTCAAGCTCATCAAGTATTCTTTCGCCATGCGAGTCATCAGCAACCTTAGATATGATCCTTGGATTAAGACCAAGACGAATTTTATCATCCGGGTTTTATCAAAGCATTGCCAGTGTTACCACCTCCTTGAACCTCAAAGCTGGTGCTCCGAATTTTATCATCCGGGTTGGGGAATGAAGCTACAGCAGCCAGGAAGTCAACACCGGCCATTCCAACACCTCAGACAATGCGATTTTTGGGGAGCGGCGGATTCCACATTTTCAGCTTGAAACTTCAATGAATTTCAGGTAGAATAACAGAGTTTTTGAGGTTGTGCACCAAGTAGTTGTGGTCAGAGAGAGAGAGAGAGAGAGAGATGGGAAGGATATTTGTGGTCAATATGGAAGGGTTACAGGTGCAAATTCTACATCACGCCATCTACAACTACAAATGCTATTTACCATAGGAGGGTTCGCCGACCTGCTGCCCTCTCTGCTTCGCCGGAACCAAAAACCACCGGTGAAGGCCCCAACCTCGCCGGATCTGTTGCTGCACCGCCAGATCTGCCTTACTGGTCCGTCGCCGGAAGGAGTTACTGCCTCGTATGCTCGCCGCCGTACCTACAACTCGCCTGAGAAGAACCTCGCTGCTACTCACTACCGACGGTTACTACTTAGCCGCCAAGCCTCGCCATCTCGCCTCACAGGAGTCACAGCAGCGCTGGTCTAAACAAGATTAGAAGAATAAGACATAAAAAGACATAAAAGCCCTTCTAATTCACGGTCAACAAACGGCTTCATTGACGGAGGATCAAAACTGACCAACGACCAATAACAGTGTCTACTAAGTGACAATTTTTATTATGGAGGATGAAAAGTGTCAATGCCTCAATAAGTCTAGGACCAAAAATGGCATTAACTCCGGAATACAATACAAGAATATTTAATTATGATTATATCGTTATTGTGCCTCACGACCATTATATACTAACAGTACTTGAAAAGAAACTAATAATAATAATAATATAAGTGGTAATAATAATATCTAAAAGTAATTAAGTGTTAATAATAATAGTAAGAATATTAACGTAAGAGTTGTAACATAGAATAAATTAATAACTATAGTCTAGGATTAAATTTGGAATTGTCAGGAAAAATAAACGACCTTTGGTGAAATTAACTCTTAAATAATTATATATCGATTTAAATATTCTTAATATATTACAACAATTCCATTCCGTGCATCGCACGGGTGAGAATACTAGTTAAATTAAAATAAATTAAAAGACTAATCAATAACCAAGATAAGTAAGGATAATCTAAAACAAAATTGAGGAAATCAACTAGTGAATAAAGGGTACTTGAAACTATGAATTCTCCTAGAACGTCTAAATTAAAACCTCAAAGATTTCATTAAAGAATTGTGAGTTCTATTGAATAATTTGACTCAAACACAAAGGACTATTGTCATCCGGCCTATCTCTAGCGTTACAATTCGATCACTCGATCCTTTCAATCATGTGGGATCTACACAAACAAAAGATATTTTTATCACAAAATATATGCACCAAACATGAATTTAATAAGTCGGCAATTATTAATTAAAGAACACATACAGTTGAATCAAAGGATAAACAATTATATTAAGACAAGAAAACAATTAAGAACAAAGACTCATCCTATGGTTCATCATAAATTCAAGTACTACAAAAGTTTAGCATCTAAACATTGAGGCAAAAAATTAAAGAAATCAAATAAATGATAGAAGAATTCAAGAACATAGAAAAATTCTTTTATTCCATGAAGAAATCTTGTGTCCAAGCTTTCCCGATGTATAAAGATGTCTACCAAAGTGTGGTTGAAGTCCCCAAAAGTGTCTTGGATCGTTTCCTTGATGTCTTTGGTTGAAAAGTCCCTCAAAGGGCTAAGAGTGTTGCTTAAATAGATCTGTGATAGTCGACACACCCTATGACACCATCGCCACCACCATCACCACCGCCACTGACGTCGCCACTAGCACCACCAACACTACCGCCGCCACCGCTACCACCACCACCATCGCCACCGCCACCACCACCGACGTCGCCACTAGCACCACCAACACCACCACCGCCACCGCCACCATAGCTACCGCCGCCACCGCTACCACCACCCTCATCGCCGCCGCCACCGCCACATATTTTTATAAGGGTATTTATGTCTTTTAAAACATATATCATTTCTATTCCTTAAACCAACCAAACACTGTAATATAATTTCTATTGTCTATTCCTTCCGCGAACCAAACAATATAATACAATTCCTATTCTATTTCTTGCATATTCCATTCCTTATGGAATAGCATTCCTATTACCTCAAAATTCATTCCGTGAACTAAACATGTTGTAAGTGTTGCATATTGAAAGTGATCATCACTTGTCATTTATCATTTTTCTTGGGCACCCAAATTTTACTCCAATGTTTATTCTCTCATTCAAATTTTTTATATAGATATTTTTCTCAATATCTACATGATGAAGATAACTTAATATTGCTTGTCATGTCAAGGAGTAAAAATGAAAGAATAAAGATTTGGAGTCCTTTGACCTTATTTTCTTTGAACAATCAAACACAAAAAAAATCTGAAAATTAAATGACAAAACAACCCTAAAAGTATTACATTTTTCTATAAAACTATTACACTTTCTTTTTATAAATAACAAATACTTTATTCCTAATTAGTATTACATCTTCGTAAAACTATTTTTTCTGTTTGGTTGATTTTAGACAATCAACCAAACATATGAGTTCAAATCCTTGACAATATAATCTTTATTCACTTGGAATTTAAACGAGAGAAAAAAAAAAAAAATCAACACGAAATAGACAAATAGTGAAGGAATAGGGTGGTTTTATAATGTGAAAATTGCATTTTTCCAATATAAAAGTATGCAATTATGAGTATATATATTTCCTTTCAATTCCCTCACTAATCCATACAATTACTAAGCCTGAATTCCATACATATTACATACAATGTGGTGTTCAACTCTTTCCGACCAACTCTTCAAACATGTTTTCATGCCCATCCTCTTTACCTCTCTGTTTTGTTCCTTATCTTTCTCAAAACTTGGCAACACTACTGATCACCAAGCCCTACTATCATTCAAAGCTGGAATACAGCTAGACCCCCTTCATATCACCACAGGGTGGAATGAGTCCATGGCTCCATGCATTTCTGCAGTTGGGCAGGAATAGTTTGCGGCCTAAAACACAGACAACGAGTGGTCGGAATTCATCTTCCCTCTACCAAACTGAATGGTCAGTTATCGCCCGCCATTGGCAACCTCAGTTTTCTCAGGCTTCTTGACCTCAAAAACAACAGCTTTACAGGGAAAATCCCTGAAGAGATAGGTCGATTATCAAGACTGAGAATTTTAAGCCTGGTGAACAATTCATTTTCTGGTGAAATGATTTGGAGGGTGAGGTTCCAACCAAAGGAATCTTCGAAAACCAGAATGCACCCGAAAGTCCCACAAAGCCATACTCAAGTTAGTGATTTGTATCTCTGTTGGGGCTTTCTTTTGCACATTTCTGGCAGCTTTTCTGTTTATCTACAGACAAAGGAAGAAACCCTCTTCGCCACCAGAGACTTCGGGGACAGATAATATCCCTAGAATGCCTTATAGAGCTCTGCGCAAAGCAACCAATGGCTTCTCAGAAGAAAACTTGATTGGTTCTGGAAAATTTAGCTCGGTTTAGAAAGGCATTTCAGATGAAACCGAGACAGCTATTGCTGTTAAGGTCCTAAAGCTTCAGGTTAAAGGAGCTTCAAAGAATTTTATAGCAGAGTGCACAGCATTGAGGCAAATCAGGCATCGGAACCTAGTGAAGGTTTTAACTTCTTGTTCAAGCATCGACTATCATGGCAATGATTTCAAGGCCATTGTCTACAAATACATGGAAAATAGTAGCTTGGAGAAATGGTTACATCGACACGAAAACAAAGTTGTCGATGAAAATCATGTTCCTAGAAGACTAAGCATGTTCCAAAGATTGAACATTGCGATTGATGTGGCTTGTGGGCTCGAGTATCTCCATCACGGCTTTGGAACGCCTCTAAACGGCTTTGGAACGCCTCTGATAGACTGATACATTGTGATTTGAAACCGAGCAATACTCTTAGACAACAATTTTGTTGCGCACTTGAGTGACTTTGGGATTGGCAAGGTTCCTTGTAAACCAAGTAACCTCTACACAATATTCAAGTGAAGCTAGTTCTGCTGGAATAAAAGGAACTACTGGATATGTTGTAAAGAAAGAAAAGTTACAGGAATTACAAGTTTTGCTAGTTTAAGCACATGTTTTTAATTTATAGCTAAATTCCAAAAACTTATTATCAATGGCCTAGTTCACAGTTCCTCCAAAATTTTAAGGTGTAATAATCACATTAACTTTGATTAATCTAGAAATAATGAAAAATTATTCCACAAGCCATCTCCTAAAAGTTCATTCTGGTTCACTCTTACAACTTAGAACTGGCATAAAGATGTCACAATGCTAATATATTAAATTAAATTAAACAAAAAAAAATAATAATAACTACATTTGAACATGAACCAAATGTAGCCAAAGCATTCAATCATTCCTCTCAATAAACTATCAATTAGCATACTGGGCAACAAAGTTAATGGCATGCCTTCTCAAACAAATAAAATCACTGTCACAAAACATGCTAAACAAGTCATTAGTGCAATTTTCATGTGCTTTCTCAGTAACCTGGAAAAAATGCTAAATAGAGACACAAGATGCTAGGAGAAAGCATAGATCAAAAGAACTTGCAGTTCTAATTATGCAAGAAAGCAACAAGATACTTGAAAACCAAAAATACAAAATTTAGATACTTGGAACACCAAAAATTCAAGATTTAGATACTTGAACAACACAAATTCAAGACTTTATAGCCTACCCTGCCACCCAATTCATATGACACAAGACCTATTATTCCAAATAGATACTCAAGAATAGCTAATACAAGAGAATTCCAAGATGGCCTATGCATGCCACAATCCAGAATTCACAATTTGTATTCATGCCATCCTATAGCTTCATAGTTCATACTGCAAAGATAACATGTAACTAAGTAAATGGTCATTAAATTCACTCACCAGCCAAGTCACCCAAGAACCTACAACACAGCAAAAAGTAAAAATACTACAATGGTGAAATGTAAAAATTTCCCTAATCAATCCATTAACCCAGCAATGCATATACTCTCAATGTTTAAAAGTAGGCAGCAATAACATGTATGGGTGTCTATAATCTAACAGAAACAAAGGAAATCCACAGAAAATAGCACAGGGATCTGATAAACAATCTAAAACCTGGAGTCAATCTGTTCAGAGAGGTTCACTACATAACCATCCATAAACAGAACAGAGAATCAATTTTATCAAGAAAAGGACTAAAGAAGATATAAGACAATTTGTTTCTCCATAAACAAATGAGAAAATCACCCACATTGTTACAGAAAAGTCTGCTATAAAAGAAAACTCAAAATATACTGAAGCATAATAGTCTCAATAAGAAATTCAAAATAAACTTTAAGTTCATCAAAATCCATTAACTACTCGATTAAAACAAAAGTAAATAAACCTAAGCCGTGAGAACGACAGCACCACCGGCTTCTTTTATCTTCTTCTCTGCAATTTTCGAGATAAGCTTGGCCTTCACGACCACGGGCTGAGCCGTCGGCAAGACACCCTTACCCAAAACCTTGAAGTATCCGAACTGGGTGACGTCAATCACAGGGGCGGAGTCCTTGCTCTTGGCGGCCTTCTCTTTGACCTCCGTCGGGAGCAGAGACCAGAGCTTATCAATGTTGACGGTAGGGCAGAAGAACTTGTTCCTCAGCTTGTGGAAGTAGCGCATACCCACCTTTCCGAAGTATCCTGGATGGTACTTGTCGAAGAGTATGCGGTGGTGGTGCATACCTCCGGCGTTACCGCGGCCTCCGGGATGCTTCCGGTGCTTGCCGATACGGCCGTGACCGGCGCTCACGTGGCCGCGCTTCTTCCGGTTCTTCTTGAATCGGGTCGTCATCTCTCCAAGCAGTAGTTACGCAGCTGTGTGTGTTGAGAAATTTATACAGGTTGCCAAGAGGGATGCTAGGGTTTGATGGATGCCATGTATAATTACTATTGCACCCTTGGTAAGGTATTTTAATTTTTAAACGCCACCACTACTAAGGTAATTTGGGTTATTTTTTACTTTGTATTATATGTGTTATGTTTTAATTGACTAATAAAAGAAGAGTTAATACTTAAAATGGGCAATTTATATCCTACACCACGGTGCGCGTTGCACTATGCGTCCAGATGCAAAACGATGTCGTTTTATTTTTTTTTTTTTTGAAATTTCCCGCCCCAGTGAATGGCAGTAGTTTTTTCTTTAAAAAAAAAAACTCGCTGTTCAAGAATGTACATAATGTTATACTAGATACACATAATGTTATACATGAATGTACATAATTATATAACAAAATATACATACTCTTTTTAAAAGATAATACACATAATCTAACATAATACATAATAAACATAAACTTTTAACATAATACACATCAACTCTTAACATAATACACACAAATTTTCTGATTCGGATGTACATAATTGTATAAAAAGAATGTACATAATTGTATAAAAAATACGCATAACTGTATGAACCAATACACATAACGTTGTGAACAAATACACATAACGTTGTGCACAAATACACATAATCTCAGCAACTTCCTACCGCGCCTCCCAACACTACCCCAAAACGACGTCGTTTTGGGAGGCGTGCGGCGCACAGTGCTATGTACGCCGTGGTGTAGGATATAACGATTGGCTAAAATGGTCCTTAACTATAATGGTTTTTTTTAATTTTGTCCTAAACGACTTTGGTGACTTAATGTAGTTCCAGAGTTTTGTGTTTTTACTCAATTTAGTCTCAGACTTTTGTGTTTTTCTCAATTTAATCTCTCGTTTGTTATTCCATCCATTTGTTGAAAATAAATAAATAGGCAATTCAGTAATTTTAATATTGGCATCTCTTTACTCATAGACATGTGAAGTGCAAAATTTCTCTTTTTTTACGAATTACTCCCAGAATCACTACTAAACCTGCGAATATAAAATTTGATTTGTAGGCCTGAGAGTAATTCTGGGTGTAATTCGTACAAAAAAAGGGATTTATCACTTCGAAGGTTGAAAGTAAAGAGATGTCAGTATTGATATTATTGAATTGTCCATTTATTTAACATCAATTTGACAGAATAACGAACAGATGACTAAATTGAGCGAAACACAAAAGTCTGGGACTATATTAGGTCACTAAAGTCATTTATGACAAAATTGAGAAAAACTACTATAGTTGAGGACAATTTTAGGTATTAACTCAATAAAAGAATATAGGTTGTGATTTTTATTCATTCTTTTTTCTATATTTAACAAAAATAGTAAATATCAATTTTAGTCCCATGAGTATTAGCAAAATGACAATTTTGATCAACATCTTTAATACCAATTTTCATCCACGACTATTATTTTATTACCAATTTTCATCCACGATTATTATTACTATTGCAAGAGGGATGCTAGAGTTTCACGGATGCCATGTATAATTACTATTACACCCTTGATAACGTATTCTAATTTTTAAACGCCACCACTACTAAGATAATTTAGACCTTCATTTTAACTCCCTGTCCAAAACAGTCATATATTATTAAAGTTTGCGTAATATTATAAAATAGTGTAATACAATTTATAACTACAATGCTATTCCGTCACTACTCCAATTCGTATAAGATAGAATATTTAAATAAAAAAATAAAAAAATAAAGTCTTTGTGTCCCTATATTTTTATTGAGTTTAACATTTAATCAACTAGGTTGGGCCATTAATTAAAAAATTTATGAATTTCTATTATTATTCACACACACACACACACACACACACACACACACACACACACACACACACACACACATATATATATATATATATATATATATATATATATATATATATATATATAATTAATAGACGTATAAGATTTGTTTGATACAATATAGTATATTTGGTTTTATAAAATATTTTAATTTTAATAGTAGTATAGTATCCCTAATTTCTTAGAATCTATATCTATACTTCTATACTATACTATTAATAAAAGTAAAATTCTTCTCTTCAACTTTTCAGCTCAAATTTTTGTTAATATTAATTAATTAATTTATTGGTAAAAGAATTAATAAAGTTTAATTGGTAAGAAATTTTTACATGGAAAGTAACTAATATCTATTAATTGCTAATATTCTTTGTAAATTCTGTGTAAGAAAGGAAATAATTATTTATTAATTATTAGGGAGTATGTAATTTTATAAGGAAATAATTGTTTATTAATAGTATAGATTTACACCAATAATACTAGGGAAAATGGCACTTTTTACCCCTGAGTTATATACTTATAGCACTTTTTCCCCCTCAATTATTTAGGTAAGCACATTAGCCCCCTCAATTATTCTAAAAGTGGTGCTTTTTCCCCCCTGATATATTAAATTGACATTTATACCCTTAAAGTAAACATTTTATTTATTTTACTACTCCAACAAATTATTGCGTATACGTAGGGATGACCACGGTTCGATTTGAATTGAACCGGATACTAAAGCAATCGAATTAATAGTTTACGGTTATAATTCAGATCTAGAACCCAATATTTAAATGTCAATTTATTAAAATTATGTATCAAAAAATTGAATCTTGAACCGTGAACCGGCGGTTCCGGATCTGATTCGCGGTTTTGAACCGTCTTTATTTTAAAATTTTATTTTTTATTTTAAAATAGTCTAAATTCAACAATAAATGTATTTTATTTTTTTTCGGAACATGAACCGTCCGTTCCGGTTCACGATTTTAATAAACTCTAAATATCGAATTTCGATTCTAAATTGTAATTGGAATATTCCGGTTTGGTTGCTATAGTGTTTGTTTAGTTTGAACCAAATTATGGTCATAATTTGTTGGAGAAAAAAATAAATTAAATATTTAGTTTAAGGGTAAATATGTCCATTTAATATTTCAGGGGGAAAAACAGCCACTTCAATAACTTAGGGGGAAAAAATGCTATAGGTATATAACTCAGGGGGAAAAAGTGCAATTTTCCCATAATACTAATATAAAATTACGTTATTTACACCAATAAGTCTACACACGCAGAATTTATTTCCTATTCATTCGAATAGTAATTTTGCGTAAAGATAGATTATTTTTTAATAGGTAAACACTTCGTTATGCTAAACGTATAATTGTAAACTTCTAACGTATTTCTGTGTCTGTAGACTCCTATTTACACCATATTGTTGGACATGAACTTCATCCTAAACACAAATTGAATGCAATCACGTTTAGACCATGATATAAATTGCCCAGGGCATAACTAGGCCACAATTACCTTGCTATGATTACCCACACATCCACTCTACGCACCTATGCAATTGCGCCCTTGAAATGGAAGCAATGAAAGTAAAATGAGAAAATTTACAAATAGACCATTAAATTATTTGGAGATAGAAATTAAGTCATCGAATTTGAATAAGCTCCAAATTCATCCAAGAACATTGGAAAAAAAAGAGCAATTAACATTTTTAGGGCATCCTCAATAACAATGGATTTTTCGCGGTCTTTTAGGTGCTAACTAGGAGAGAGATGATGGAGAAAAAAAAAAGAGAAGAAAAAGAAAAAGCAAAAAAAAATGAAATCTGCCCAAAAAAATAAAAATAAAAAACTGTAAAAGCTGTGTTTTACGCGCCCAGTAGGCGCGTGCTATCACGCGCCTACTGGGCGCGATAATTGCGCCTGACGCGCAAAGATGCGCTGCATTATTATTTTTCTCACCAATTGAGGGCCCACAAAAATCTATGTATGGCAGGAGAAAAATACCATTCAAAATCCAACCCCCACATTTGTTAAAAACTCAACATTTCATTTTTACTGTTCCAAAATCCTTGTAAAAGTATCTATTGGGGATGCCCTTAGCAGGTTAACAAGCCAAAAAACTAGCTTGTTCAAAGGAGAGATTAGAATTCGAATAAGAAATAGGATTTTCCTATTTCATTTTGACTCTTGCTCAATTCAGGAAGATGGTCAAATGCTTAGTAGGATAATAATATAATAAAATATATACATGATATCTCAATCAGCGCAAACGTGTTGTTAACCTACTACAAATGTTAATTGCTCTTTTTTTTCGGGTTCAATGAATAATTTAGAGCTTATTCGAGTTCAATGACTTAATTGTTATACTCCAAATAGTTCAATGGCATATTTGTACCTTTTTTCAAAAAGTAAAATGCAACGGCCAATCTTAGGAAGAGGGGATGTCATGTCAACTAATTGTGTCCATCTTAGATCATCCATAATGGTGGAGTTTTTTTGTGATCTTTGAAGGGTTTTTGTAAGTATGATTAGAAAAGATAATATGGGAGGGGAGAGAAAAAAAAAACAAAATTGATTTAAATAAATAAATAAATATATATATATATATATATATATATATATATATATATATTACAGCTCTGTCGCGCCAGCGGGCGCGTGCAACGCAAGCGCCTGTGTAGCTATTTGCTATGCACGAAACGCGCACAGCAGGTCCTAATTTTGCAATGGTTTGCACTGTTCCAATAACCCTCCCTTGCAGGCCAACCTATTTCTTCTCTCTCTCCACCACCAAAGCAAACACTGCTCCAATAACCTCTTATTATTCACTGATATTGATGCTCTTCGTGAAATTACTTATTACTTACGGAGTATAATATAATGGTTCATCCATGAGACCATGACATAGCTTTGTATTAATGTTTTTCATTTTCTTATTTCTTAACTTCGAATTTCGTCTTATTTGGCAACTTACAATCCAACAACAATTAAGGTATCGTTTACATCATTTCTCTGTTTTTTCATTTCCAGTTTTCTATTTATCTATTTCTCCAGTTTTCCTTCTCCATTTCTACAATTTTCCATTTCTCTAGTTTTCTAATTTTCATTCCATGTTCCTCCAGTTTTTCATTTCTCTAATTTTCTGATTTCATTAAATACAATCATCACATATATCATTTGTGCATTTCTACAACAACAACAACAACAAAAAATATGTGTGCATAAGGATGAAGAAAAATGAAAAAAATAAAAATAAAAATAGTAATGGTAATGGTAATAGAGAAGAACGAAACTTACGAAAGAAAGCAAAGAGAAAATGAAATGGAAAAAGTCAGATGTGCACAACAGGAATCAAACCGCAGACCTCGCACATCAAGTACTATTCACGCGTGTTATCTCCCATTTCTCCATTCGGAGAATAAACTCAAACACCAATTCTTCAAAAGTATACATAAAGTTAGAAAATTGAAAAGAGTTAGGCAATTAGAGAGATAATTTTAGTAAATAAGTTTTCCATTTTCTATTCTTCCACCTCTTTAATGGTCTGTTTCATAAAATCCTCCATTTTGATGAACGACCCCCAAAGCTCTTAATGGTATGGTGTTGATGTTGTACGCAATGGTTAAGTTAAACAAAGAATGATACAGTTTCTTACCTCATATTTTTTAACTATATTCAAATGACAAGATTTCACTCAAATTATTTACAATATTTTTGTTTAATATCAAATTTAATACTAATCTATAATTTATATATTAAAAAATTACATCAAAATTTTTATTATAAACACGAAAAAAGTCAAATTTAAAATGACTTTAAAATTTTATTAACAAGTTAAATAAACAAAGAAAAATTAATTTGATCATAAATAACAAATTGGACATGTGTCAAGTAGTTGCAACTCTAGAGCCTCTAACTCTCTTCTCCTAAATGGAAGGTTACAGGTTCGGACCCCCCGAAAAGAGCTAAGAGTATTGACTCTTTGTGATTCAATAGATTGAGAAAGTATGTATAAACAGATACTACATTATAATAGAGTCACTAGTACAAAAAAATAGAACAATGTAAATTAGAATAGATGAAATATCATTCATTAGTTCGCTAAATCCTTTCAGCAAACCAAACTCTACCTTTTTCAAGGTTAATAAACAGCAATTGGATTGCATTCTACTAGAAATACAGTTTAGAAAACAAATATATAAGCTTTCAGGAGGAGTAATTCAGTTTCTGGGTAAGCTATTTCTAGTACTGCACAAGACTAGGGGATCTCTGAACTATCATGAATGTGCTATTTCTAGTGTGAACAACACATCTATGGAGGATCAGTATAATACTACCAATGTCTTTTCGCTCCAAGTGGAACTGTATTAGATCCCGAAATCGACCCACGGTTTCCAAAGCCTCCCCGCCCTCTAGAGCGGAAGTTGTTTCCTGAAGCTCAGAAAAATCAAATTCAATCTATCAGCACCATTTCTCGTCGGTATTATAACTGGCAAACATTGGCTGTAAGGCACTAACCGCAACTATATATATATATATAACACATACCTCCAGAGCTGAAACCACCGGGGCATGCCAATGCTGACAACTGAGGGGGAACAATTTGACCTGCTTGCTGAAGGATCTTAACAAGTTCTCTGGCAAACTTTGCATTTCCATGGGTAAAAAATGTAAATGCAGTTCCCTTGGCACCCGCCCGACCAGTTCTTCCTATCCTATGAACATAATCCTCAAGACAAGTAGGAAAATCATAATTGATTACACATTTTATGTCCTTCACATCTACAAAAGAATAACAATCATCAGATCAAGAACACACTGAAAAAAAATAAAATGATCACACATACACTCGCAACTTGCTACCTTATCCCTGCACTAATAAGATCTTAGTGATTGTGTGTAAGATAATACAGTCCTAATATATTGTGCCCACCTTAACTTTGCAGGGATAAGGAGCAGCTCCACCACCACAACTCCAAAAATGAAATAATGAATCATTAAATAATCTTGTGAGTCAACCGGGCTGTCACGACAATCAGCTTGTTAACTGTGGATGGGCAGCATTAACCTCAAGCATATTCTTTAGAAATTAGAATCTTAGAACCAATAACTGGAACCATACCATTTCTGGTCCAAAAGTCAAGGATGCCAAAAAAAAAAACCCAATTTGTATAAACATAGTCCACCGGTAAACCTCTTGGTACAACACAGAAAGAACAGTTAATATAACCTATCATATTGCCTTGTTTAATAACCATACACACATACCCCCCTCCTAAATCAGAAATCTGATACTCCATTACAATTTAAAAAATAAAATTAAATTAAATTAAAAGATTGACGAAACATGAGATCTAACATTTTCCTAAAATGAGATGAACATATTCACCCCACCACATTTTATGCCAATTTCTGTTTATTTTTATTTCTAAATTCTAATCTTTTGATAATCCCAAGTTTGGATTGACATCCTCTAATGCATGAAAGCACAATACATTCTCAATAGATAAGTAACACTCTTTCCACTGGACTAGCTAATTTCAGTAGCCTTACAACCAAGCACTAGTACCCATTGAGGTCATCTCAATTATAGAGTTGATAGTCAATGTGCAAGGCTCCTGCACCACACAGTTTCTTCCAAAGGAATATATGTGCAATTCAAGGGTCCTCTTGAACATACAGTCTTTAGAAATTTTGAAAAGCTTGATTGTCAAGAATTTAATTAATGCAGATTGAAGCTAACTGTCAGGGAAACATAAAAAGATTGAAAAGGTCTCATGATATTCAATTAAAAATACCACTGTGAAGTCGGACATAATCACTACATTTGCTACTTTACGCTCATGTTATCTTATTAGCTTCCATTTTGACCATGAGAAACCAATTGCCCATATACCACTTTTAACTATGCAATCATATGCATGTAGTGTTTGTATAATGATAATAATACATAGAAAACTGTTAATCATGAGAAGCCAATCTCCCATACAAAAATACCCAATGGTTGACTAAAACTTCTAAGAATTCATTCCATCAGAACTCCAACTAAAAGGATGGAATGGAGAACTAAATATAACCACCCATTCAACTGAAACCAAGTCCGTTAACTGAACAAGAATAAAATTTTATCCAAATTCCTGTTAGTCAAGTACCCATTTCCAGTTAATCCTGGGAGTTAATAAATTTCACACTATCTACAGGCAAATAAATCTTAAGAAACCAAACATTTCTAATGGGTCAATGCATCATGTCTATCACTTGCATGCACAAGCACTCTGTGCTACCGGTTAACATGTTTCAAGGAACACTTTTGAATCCCCAAATTACTGTTAAAATGATGACTCGGGAATAATATGTGAGTGTTGTGATGGCTGTTCTAAATCCTACATCACTTTAATGCAAAGAATGCATCCAGCTTGCAGTTGACCATTTCCTAGTTCTCATATTTTTTTAGAAGATAAATAAATTCCCAAGACTTTGTGAATCCTCCTCAAAGTCACAATAATAGAAATTAGGCCCTTGGTAATATGCAGTAACATGAAGCAACAGTCAATGATGTTGAAAAGTGAGTCAAGTGTGTCATTAATCAAAGTGTATAGCATCTAGCATCAAACAAATACCTAGCATGCAACCTATCAAAATAAAAGCATCTAGCATGGAGTTCTTACTTCTTCCTGCCCTACTCTCAAGCAAATTAATTAAGTCTCAGATAACTGAGTTCTAAACAATAGACCCTTAAAAACTATTACATTTGTGAAGAAGAGATATTAGTAAGAAGCTTGTGTATCCATGTTAGTCACTTGCACGCATCAGATGTATCCAGCATGCAATAGACTATATCCATAGCCTGATATTTTTAAGTTTGTTCTTAGAATAAAACTACAATTTTCAGCATTTTTCAACTCTTTCAAAAGCATGTTTCTATGTGTTAGTGTCTAATGAGAGACATGCACCTGTGTCAATGCAATCTAGATTCTACTCGTGCAAACAAATTAGTAGTGGTTAGCACATACTAGGCATAGACGCATAGTCCCAACTATTTTTACCCAAACCACAGATTATATTCTCAGGAAAGTGGACAGCAGCCGGAGACTCTTCTAAGTATTAGTGTTAAAGACCTAGGATCAGAGAGCAGAAATTCCTAAGTCTAAGCATTCACAACCCTACCAAGACCGCGTGCAGCAACATCAGTGGCAATCATTACGGGACTTCTACCACTTTTGAATTCAGACAGTACCCAGACCCTTTCGTCCTGGTTTTTATTGCCATGAATGGATAAAGCTGGCCATCCATCCATTCTTAGTTGCCTTGTGATCTGATCACATCCTTTCTTTGTCTCCACAAATATCAGAATTCTGCTTCCATCCATCACTTCTTTCAAAAGTCCAGTCAACCTTGCAAGTGCAACGGGAAATCAACTTTTGAATGAAAAGAATCATGAAGGGTTATATAGCAGATTAACAGAACAGTCTTATCATTTCCCAAAGGGATAATGCCATAATAGTTAAATGTGCTCCTGTACTTGTCACAATAATGCAATTGGACACCTAAACTCAAAAACATACAATTGGCTCCTTGAGCATTCAAAATTCATACAATTAGCCAGTTGCCTCAAATTATCCTGTTGACATGGTATTTGAAATTGAAAAGCTGGATTTTCCCTTTATAATTTAGCTGACATGGATATTCTCCTTTGCGCTGAGTAAACTTAGAATGTAAATTAAATTGCCTACCCTAAATTCCCACTACCCATCAAGTGCCAGTGGTCAAAGCTTATCACATCCACAGCCATCTGTTTCACCTTTCTTTCACCATGGTCAAAGCTTCAACTGTACCCCTCTTCACTTCTCACTACTCATCTAAAGCTTTGCCATGTGCAATAATGGCTTCTAAAAACGTGGTTGGATTTGTTGGCATGGATGATATCAGCTAGGAATTGGCATCTTCTCTTCACAATTCTAGCTATTCCATCCAAGCATTTGAGGTATGGGTTTTTACTTTCTAGTGATTTAAAATTTAAAATAAATAAAATTCTCCCTCATAGTTAACGCTAAAGAAATGGAATTCTCTGGGAGCTTCAAGGCTGAAGAAGAATGGCTTGATTGCTCCTCACGTTCTTAAGCGATTTGCTTTCAAGAAAGAATGGTTTCTTTTTTTGTTTGCTTTTTATTCTTGATTTTTATTGCAAAGGACATAGAAGACTCTGCAAGTAGAAGATGGAGAACCATCATCATCATCAACACATTAGCTACTTAATCCACATAATATCCCAAACCATTCATTGTTGAATCATTACAGGAGGCAACCAGCTAATTGGAGCAATGGCATGACTTTTTGAGATTCAAGGAGTCAATTCTATTTCTATATATTTTTAGCTTAGGAGCCCAATTGCATTAACGTAACAAGTACGAGGGTCTATTTGGCCCTCTTCCCTTTCTCAAAAAATAAGGGCACAACCTTGAGGTTATTAGATAATACCTGTTGTACTTCTCCGAATCTGTAACAACTTCAACAATTTGCCTTATAGATTGATTTGCTTTCAAATTTGGAGACCCAATGATTACCTGAAAGTTTAAGGCATTAACCAAAAGTAAAATACACCTTCGTCTCTCAGACTTTGACAAGATACAGATGCACTTGCACACTACAATATATGCAAACATGAAACAAGGGGTCAAAAACCTTGTAAGGATTGTGTAGAAACTGCCTTGCCAATCGTTCTACCTCCTTTGGCCATGTTGCACTCCAATACAGTGTTTGTCTATCTGGTCGAATCTGCATTGATCAGATAAAACTCTCAATTTCAAGCAAGTCAAGCTATAAACAAAATAATTGCTGCATAAACCAAAATGCATATAGAGAAAACAAAAGAAAAACTGCATTGTGATGATTCTTACATATAGATAGAACCCCTAAACTTTGAAAAGTTGGTTTTAACTCCCCAAACTTTCCATTATACAGGGGAAAACACATACCATTAACATTGGGATTTAGTCCCTCAACATTGTAACACCACAAATCATTTTGCTAAGTAGACTCAGCATTTTGGTGGGAATTGTGAAAAAACAAAGAGGGGAATTAGTGGCCACAAAGTTTGGGAACTAAGTTAACCCCAAGGTTAACAGAATGGATTTTCTCTATTTAGGTGGTCAACCTACATTAAGCCTTTGAACAATATTAATTAAATATTAGCTTTCAGTTTATGTACCAGGAATGACTCAAATAGTACATAGTACATAAATGATAAAATTATTAAACATAGTACTTGAAAAATAAAAATAAAAATAAAATAATTGAAGTATAAAGTATTATCCATGCCTGGGAAACAATTTTTCTGATTTGAGGCTCAAACCCCATATCCAACATCCGATCAGCCTCATCCAAAACAAGATAAGTCACCCTTTTCAAGTTCGTATGTTGAGATTCTAGCATATCTATCAGCCGACCAGGAGTAGCAATGACAATTTCAACTCCTGTCATACAATAAAGTTTCAAACATTTTCACCCATCTTATTCCATAAAACTTTTAGGACTGAGGAAAATATATACGGAGTAATAATTAAATAAATGACTTATAGGTGAATGCATACCTCTTTTAAGATCGCGTATTTGAGGTCCTTTTGGAGCACCTCCATAAATGCATGTGATTCTTATATTTGCTTGTGATCCAAATTTAACAGCTTCTTCTTGGATCTGAACAGCTAATTCTCTTGTAGGAGCTAATACTAGCACAATGGGACCATCACCTTGCACTATATTTTATTTTATTTTTTTGTTAAAAAACATGAATGATAACCCAAGGAAAGGTAATGCTCAGCCTAAAAGAAGTAACAGAAGATGGAAAAAGTACTAACCCAATCGTGGTTGTGCACTGACGTGAACCAAAGCAGGCAGTAGATACGCCAAAGTTTTTCCAGAACCTGTTTCTGCAATGCCAATCAGATCTCTGCCCTTTAAGGCCATTGGCCATCCTTGTGATTGGATGGCTGTGGGTTCAACAAAGCCCAATCTTGTGATAACCTCAAGGCAATACGCTATAAAACAAAAGTAATTAAACAAAATACTTCATAGAATGCTAATACAATTAAAATTGAGAAATAAACAGTCAGAGCAAATGTATTACCAGGAAAGTTTGCCTCATGGAACATTCGAATTGGCTTTGGGATATCCGTGCCCTCAACTGTAACCTCACGCCTTGCACGATATAGTGCAACCTCGTGCTCAGTCATTGCCATCACTGATGGACTCTCAGAGTAGAAGTTCTTCTCAAAGCGAACCAAGTTTCCAAAATCTTGTTTTGGAAGGGAAATGTTATCCAAATCATCTCGCCCCCTGCCATGTGCCCCATGCCTACCTGTGCCACCACTTCGCCCTCCATCATATCCAGATCTCCCACCTCCACGTCCACCGTGTCCTCTATCAAACCCCCTCCCACTAGCCCTACCCCCTCGGCTCAAATCAAATCCCCGCCCAGCACCACCTCGATCCTCATTCCCACCAGTCTGGAAAGAAGGGAACCCTGAATAACGTGGCGGAGCCACCACAGGACCTCCATAAGGAGTTGGGGCACCACGGCTATTACTTAAGGCAGCTCCACCGGCTATATGCGGTGGCCCTATCAGATCACTAAAAATCAAGAAACACAAAATTCATAAACATCCACTGCGAAAGTTTTAAGCTTCATAGCAGATTAAAGAGATCTGTACACTTATAACTCTATTCAAGCGCATAAACAAATTCTATATACGTAATACGAATATGATGTGCCTAACACAAATGGGACGTACCTTCTGCGTTGACGATAGGAATTGGAGTCAGCGTATCTGGAATCGTAATTAGGGTTGTACATTGTAGTGGCAACCTAGCAGGGTAGATGGATTGGAGTTAGGGTTTCCAAATTGTAGACACGAGAACGATTTTCCCTCCTTAGAGTCTCCTCGGCTTGCTCTATTGAACTCGTCAATGTAGATTGTCACGATTTTTAGATTACGTATTCGTTTCTTTCTATTTATAGATAATAATACTAACACAAAATGTGTAAATGGGAGATTTCTTCAATGGCGACTTTCAAGATTTAAGATTCTTCTCAAAATGGGTTTTTAGCCCCTATATGGCTATATCTCTTCTTAAAAATAATAATTAAAAAGTAAACATATTTTAATAATAAGTTATAAAATAAAAATGAAAAGAAAAATAATTATATGTGATCATTGTGATGGGCTTGAGCCTAAGAACAATTGGGACAAAAAAAGTAAAAATCCGACGATAGTTTATTGGGTTTAGAGAATAAACGGAGTCCATGGACAAGGCAAATTGGCAAATTATTGTATGGATCATGGACCATAATAAAAAGTACATTTTTAATATACTAAAAGTACATTATTTTTGTATTGAATGTATATTATATAATATAATGTACACTCAGAATAAAAATAATGTATATTCCATGTATACAATATACATTATTTTTGTACTGAATGTACACTATTCTATAATAAACAAAATATGGTCCACACAACTTGTGTGGACCATGGCCCACACAATAATGATTGAGGCAAATTATGATGTGCATCCATATGCACCATGGTGCATACGGATGCACCATGGTGCATACGGATGCAAAAACGACGTCGTTTTATTAAAAACGCGCGTCTCCCCTTAAAAAAAAAAAATTTCAGGTTCGATTCCCAGCAACAATATATGAACTAAAATTCCAGAATCGATGAACTAAAATTCTAGAATCTATAAATTAAAATTCCAGAATCTATGAACTAAAATTCCAGAATCTATGAATTAAAATTCCAGGATCTAATCTTTCAGAATCGATGAACTAAAATTCCAGAATCTATGAACTAAAATTCTAGAATCTAATCTATGAACTAAAAATTCCAGAATGAATGAACTAAAATTTCAGAATGAATAAACTAAAATTCCAAAATCTATGAACTAAAATTTCAGAATCGATGAACTACAATTCCAGAATCGATGAACTATAATTTCAGAATCAATGAACTAAAATTCCATAATCTATGAACTAAAATTTCAGAATGAATGAACAACATAATGTTGTTGCTGGGAATCGAACCTGATTTTTTTTTAAAGGGGAGACGCGTGTTTTTAATAAAACGACGTCGTTTTTGCATACGGGTGCACATGGCAAATTATGCTGTGCATCCGTATGCACCAAGCATGGTGCATACGGATGCAAAAACGACGTCGTTTTTATAAAACGCGCGTCTCCCCTTAAAAAAAAAAAAAAAAAAAGGTTCGAAACTATAATTCCATAATCGATGAACTATAATTCCATAATCGATGAACTATAATTCCATAATTGATGAACTATAATTCCATAATCTAATCTATGAACTAAAATTTTCAGAATGAATGAACTAAAATTCCATAATCTATGAACTAAAATTTCATAATCGATGAACTATAATTCCAGAATGAACTAATTTCACTTTTGGTCCCACGACTTTAGAGTTTCTATCATTTTTGGTGCACAACTTTAAATTTTTTCAATTTTGGTGTCTAACTTTGTTATTTTTATCAATTTTGGTCATTTCGATCAAATTGACTGTGAAATATTGCTGGATTTTACATTTTAGGGGCAAAATCGTCATCCCAAGAAAAGATATTCAATATCTAAACAAAAGAAAAATCATGTTAAGAGAAATATAAGAGTTTGGCAATCGTCGATGCTATAAATCTCATAGATCTGTGTCTAGTTTCTGTCCGTCTTTCCAATTATTCTCATCGATCAAACACTTATAGATATGATTTTAGAGTGATTTTGTTTAGATATTGAAGATGTTTCATTGGGATGACGATTTTACCCCTAAAAATATAAAATCCGGCAATATTTCGTCGTCAATTTGGTTGAAAGGACCAAAATTGATAAAAACAACAAAGTTAGGCACCAAAATTGAAAATTTTTAAAGTTGTGCACCAAAAGTGATAGATCCACTAAAGTCGTGGGACCAAAAGTGAAATTAATTCATTCCAGAATCGATGAACTATAGTTCCATAATCGATGAACTATAATTCCATAATCAATGAACTAAAATTCCATAATGAATGAACAAAATAATGTTGTTACTAGGAATCGAACCTGAATTTTTTTTAAAGGGAATACGCGCGTTTTTAATAAAACGACGTCGTTTTTGCATCTGTATGCACCATGCATGGTGCATACAGATGCACATCATAACTATTTGGTGCACATCATAACTACTCCATGGACAATTGGGACAAAGAGTAGAGATCCAAAAGTGAATTGGGCCAAGCCCAATCTACTATTTTTTGAAAATAAGATAAATTCATTAACTTAAATTAGATAACAATGCATTACAAATGATAAGAGGACGGTTATAGAACCATTCCGAGGAGTCAGACAAAGATCTAGAGTGCCTAGCTAACAAGTGGGCTGCCTAGTTCGCTGATCTCTTAACAAACATAACAAACACATCACTGAAATCATCTAACATGTGTTTAATATCATTAATGATCAAGTGCAAAGAAGAAAGACCGCTCGTCGCTTTTATGGCCTGGACAGTTTGCAGGGAGTCAGATTCGACCTGCATATTATCAAAGTTGTGTGCTTTTAGCCAGCTTACAGCCTCACAAATGGCGACTGCTTCAGCCTCCCTGGGAGTGGAATTACCTCTCCATTGAGTTCCACGAGCTACAATAAAGTTTCCATCATCGTCTCTAATCACGCACCCAAGGCCCATAGCTGCTCTGTTGCTATTAATCGCCGCATCAACATTCATCTTCATCATACCCCGCTGCGGGTATGTCCACTTGTTCGATGGGTTGGGACCAGTTTGATTTGAGGCCTAAGTAAATTTTTTGACCTCTTCTCATTCCCCTAAAAAAAGCTCTTGGCCATTCTAATGAGTTGAAGTTCATGAAGATTGATTGAGTTATTCCAAACCTTATCATTCCCCTGCTTCCAAATTTCCTAGCAACCCAGCACCAACAGTGAGAGATTCCCTTTATCAAGACTAGAAATATTGTGATTCACCCAAGCAGGGAAGGAGAGGTCTCTTGGGTCACCGAGATGCAAGCCTGAAAGCCTCTAGCAAGATCTAGCAAAGGCACAATCCACCAACATATGAAAGATGGATTCATTAGCAATGTTGCACATAGGGCATAACTCATCACAATCCACCATTTTCCTGCGAAGAAGATCTTTGGTTGGTAAGCTGTTCGTGCAGGCCCGCCAGAAAAAGACTTTAGTTGTTGGAGGGATTTTTAATTGCCAAACAGCTACCCAAGGTTTGGTATCTGCTTCTTGTAAGTTGCCTCTGATTGCATTGTAACAGCTTTTCACGGTGAAGCATCCATCATCTTCTGCTGACCAAATGATTTTATCTTGTCTCTGCTGCAAAGCTAATGGAATGTTTAAGATGAGTTTGACATCTTTCGGGGAGAACATGATTCTGATAATATCTTCGCCCCATCTAGCCCAATCTACTATAATCATCAAGAATGTACAAAATACATGCGATAAGATCAAATGATAACAAAGAATTGTAATAATCCATGTAGATACCTGCCATGTATTATCAACGTGGATTGGTGTCGAATTTCACCAGTCGACTTCAAGGCTCCCCATCGAACTAAGCATTAGTGAATCCCTTCACACAAGGGCAAAAACTTGTGTGAGACCGTCTCATGGGTTTCAATCCGTGGGACGGGTCGGATCTTTGATTAATAAGGTCAATGATCTGATTCATTAATCAAATACTTGATCCATTAACCAAAGATCTAACCCGTCTCACCGATTGAGACCCGTGAGACGGTCTCACACAAGTTTTTGTCCTCGTGTGAAGGAATTCACGAACGCTTAGTTCGATGAGGAGCCTTGAAGTCGACTGGTGAAATTCGACACCAATCCACGTTGATAATACATGGCGGATATCTACATGGATTAGTACAACTCTTTGTAATCATTTTATCTTGGAAGTGTTACCCTCAATACCAGTGTTACCATCACAAGAGTTGTTTTTACGCCTTCAAGTCTTATGAAAAACGTGGAATGAATTACAAGTCTTGAACCAATTATTGTTTTCAACTACGAATAGATATACAATCTCAATTTATTGCTCTAGAAATAAAATGTAACAATTATGTCAAAGATTTAATCCAAGTTCCCTTTTTTTTTCTCTATGAATATGTGTGTTTTATATACAAAGTTGAGATTAACCGCTTGCATACTATATATATATTGGGAAATATTATGTGACAAACTCGCATTGAACTACAAAATGAGCTTTAAAAGATTTTCGAATAATTTACATTGAGTACACAAATAATATATTTTTAATATATTAAAAATGTACATTGTATTGAGAGAAAGTACATTATTTTTACGGTATATTAAAATATACTCTTTTATATATGATACACACAACACTATGTGACTTATAATCCACATAATAATTTGCGCTTACATTTTTATCCACTCCAGTCTCATCTCATGCCAACTTTTCTCCCGTTGCATAACCATAACGCCTACCACCATCAATTCGTTTTCTATCTATTTCCTGAGACAATGGAGTTAAAAAAAGAGCTTATAATATCGAATTATCCGACATCAAGTTGCTCCCTTATATCGAAAGTTGTGGATTCGAATTTCACTGGATGCGATATTGATTTTTTGTGCTTCATTGAAAAAAGTAGTTATGAACAGATACTGTATTGTAATAAAGTCAGTAGTATTCAAAAAAAAAAAAATCGAATTATCCGGCCACACCATATTCTGCCATTAACCTTTTTTATTGGATTTTTAATCATTAGTATTGGGTTTGATTTTTCTATCATTAGTATTGAGATTTAAGTATCTTAATGTTTAAGAATCATGATAGTCACAGTGTGGAGTTTCACCCTCTTGTAGGGATAATTCTTTGTGGGTACTAGGTACTGACCTTCCCGTTTAACGGATTGAATCACTAGTTGATTTTATGACTTTTGGATGATATTCAGTTACAATATTTTTTGTGAAAATGATCGTACGGTAAAATACTAAGGGTGTGTTTGGAAACCCAGAAAATGATTTCTGGAAATCATTTTTCGGGTTTTTGGTGTTTGGCTAGGCAAGGAAAATAGGAGTCAAAGGAAAATAACCCAAAGTCAATGGAAAATCACCTCACTTTTCCGGAAAATGATTTCCTCTATTTTTTGGGGGAAGTCATTTTCCATCTTCATTCAACGCAACACTTGCCATCTCCACGCCTCCATCAACGCAAGAACAAGCTCCACCAACAAATCCATCACCAGAAAAATTCTACCGAAAACCTCCTCATCACTGGTTTATGCATCGAAACCAAAGGCTCTGGTTTCCGACCTCTCCGACTGCGGAAACAATAGGTTTCCGCATCGGAAACCAGTTCTCTGGGTTTTCGGCTCGCAGCCGGAAACCAAATCCACTGATTTCCGGCTGTGGACGGAAACTAGTTATATCTGGGAATTTTTTTTCTCTTTCTAAGTATTTTTTTTATTATTATTTGTGAAATCAATTCCTCTAATTTGTGTAGAAATGGAAGTTATTGTTTTAGGTTCATGTGCTTATTTGTTTTGATTGAATTACTCTATTTTTATGAATTGCAAGTCAAGGAAGAAGAAGAAGAAGTAGTAGAAGAAGGGTATAAAATTTAAAAAATAAATTTATCAAATGATATAAAAAGTAAAAAGTAATTGAAGAAATAAAATTAATTGAAGTATACAATTTTGATCATTTTTCTATTCATTTTTTGAAAAATGAACCAAACACCAAAAGACAGTTTTCCGTTGTACAGCCAAACATAGGAAAGGAAAATGACTTTTAGAAAATGACTCATTTTTCAGAAGTCATTTTCCTGCTTTCCAATCGGACCCTAAAAGCGGCACTACTTGCCTAAGGAATTTCGCATTTCTTGCACCTAAGCTCTAGTTTTATACGATTTAATTTACTCTTCTTTTTTTTTTTCCGCTTTGACTCAGATCTCATATTGTATATGTTCAAACAAGAATTTCAACAATAATTTTGATTCAAACTAATTAAATTTATTACTAATTAGTGAAACTACATTTATTAAAAGGAAAATGACAATTATAGTGCCCCTACATCTACTACTCACAAATTTTCCATCTCTATGTGCCTTTACAAACTTACTTGTAAGTGGTAGATGTATGAACACCTAACGTTATCTTTATTAAAGTTCATTCCACTTTTGATTCGTTCAAACCAAATTCCTCGTAAGTAACAATTTTAGAGTGTATATATATAATAATGAGGTGTCACATATAGTTCTCAAAATTTTTACAAGTACGGAGTATTTAAATCAAATGTGATGAATATTAGGACATTCTCAATAATAGAGATTTTAGTGTGGTTTTTTAGGTGCCAAGTAGGAGAGACGAGGAGGAAAAAGAAAAAAGAAAAAAAAGTAAAAAAAATAAAATGAAAAGAGATTTTCAATGCAAGAAAAATAATAATCAATTGTTATCTTTATCTTTGCATTGGGATCACAAAAATCTCATTCTTTGCATGAGGATCTCTAGCAGTCTCTCACTTGATTTTCTTTCATCCATGGTGGTAATTTTTTTTAATTAAAAACTATGAACAATCCCCCTAATGGGGATGCTCTTACTCCATATAAACTAAATTAAATATTTAATTAACCCAATATGGTAGCTTAAGTGACAAATAAGCTCTCTTTGTAAAAAGAATTTTAAGATAACCCAAATTCAATTCCTTTTGGATCAGTTTTTGTGCCTTAGAACGAATCGGGTAGACCTGAACCACATTGTGGTTTACACTAAAATTAAATAATTACTGGTAAGTTGTTGTATTTGTACTACAACTCACGCAACTCTCTAAATTTTAACAAGTATTTAAATCAAATGCAATGAGCATTACCCCTTATTATACTGAATATGTACTTTTAATAAAGTTGTACACGCCAAAAATATTGTGTTGAAGCGATATAACTGTGGCTCTCTTAAATGAGATGTTACAGATTTCTATATGTATGGATAGATACATTGTAACAAAGTCAATAGTAACACATATTGGTTGGTAAAAGCCCATTGTTAGTAAGTAAAAGTATTTCTGATTAACTTTTCAATCAAAATCGTGATTTAAAAAACACTTAAAATCTCAACCAAGTTAGTGGACCAACATAACTACTTTGGACAAAAATACTGACCAAATGTGGAGATTATGCATAAAGTGAGCATATTCTTTATGCACATCGACATTTGGTCTTGTATGTTGAGTCATTGAGTTATTACCGTGATTTACATTCTTCTACATGCTCTGTAGAATCGGAGTGTTAGAGGTCTTTGGGATTGAGTATTCAAATTTTGGGAAAAGAAATACAGACCAACACCAAATCTTGGATGGAAAATCATTTTTTTTTCTCTGGCTTTCACTTAGTTAATGGCGACGTTAGTGAAATGCATATGTTGGCAACCACAATTTTGAGACGTGAGCAGAAGACTCATAACCGTCCGTTTGTCTTTTCAACTTCATTCTAACTATTTTCAAGGGACATTATTCCAAGAATTATGACACTAATTACAATTTGCATTACCTCTCTATTTACTCCCATAATTTCAAACCTTAATCCAACGGTAAAAAATTAAAAATCATAAATGCTATCTTTTCTTGGCCTCTTTTTAAGCCTCCCCACTCACTTCTCCTTTCACTCATTCCCCGTTCTCATAATCTCATTCATACCCCCAACATCCTAGTTCCTACAATTGGCAAATAGTACAGTTCCCAGGTTTAATTTCTTTCAAAGATTGTATTGTCAGCTTTTCTCAGTGATGGAGTCCCATTCCCAGTCCCACATTGTTCTATTTGGTTCCCTCTTGGTGTTTCTTATGGGATTTACTAGCTCCTCCCAAGCTTATACTTTCAACGTTGGTGGCAATGATGGTTGGGTTTTGCAACCTTGTGATGGCTTAAACCGTTGGGCCGGAGAAAATCGCTTCCAAGTCAATGATACAATTAGTACGTTTTTTCAGTACTACTGGCTCTGTATACCATTAGTTCATTAGTTGTTCAGTCTTCAATGATTATCGTTTGTGTTTGTTTATAATGTTTTTGTTTATCGTTTATAATGTTTGTGGGCAGTTTTCAAGTACAAGAAAGGAGAAGATTCTGTTCTTGTAGTTCACAAAAGGGACTACTATCACTGCAACAAGACAAGCCCTATCCACAACCTAACCGATGGGCATTCAAGGATCACGTTTACCAGGCCGGGTGAATTCTTCTTCATAAGTGGTCAAGCTGATAACTGCGACAAGGGCGAGAAGATGGTCATTGTTGTGCTGTCTCCCAGGCCGCCGCCGAGCTCCTCTTCTCCGGCGCCGGCGCCGGTGCTGCTGCCGCCGGCCCCCAACAAGTCTGCTGCTCCGACATCGCTGGTTACTGGCTCGGTTGGGATGTTATGGGGATTTGCCTTAGTGGTGATTGGCTTGGTTTAAGGGTTTTTTGGGTTGGATATGAATTAAAGGGTTGTAGAATGTTGGAATTTGGAAATGTATTAATTTTATGCGTTAATTTTGAATCGAATTTTAATTTGTTACTAGGACTATTATATTACTTCAGTGTTTATTACAATTAATGTTGGTAAGTTACAATATAAATATAGTTTAATGTCAATAACTAATTAATAAATTCGGAGTAGTTAAATACTTAAATTCGACCACTTTTAATCCTGTAATTAATATTGTGACAGTTCAATATGTTTTATTGTTTTTATTCACGATTTTTTTAATGTTGAGAAATATAATAATTTCTTCAGATGGATATGTAGAATTGAAGGAAAATATATTGAACAAATAGTATAATATCTAGATGGAACTGTATTGTATAATTAAAATTTTAAAGAACAAATAATACAGAACTGTATTGTATAATTAAAATTCTAAAGAACAAATAATACAGAACTGTATTGTATAATTAAAATTCTAAAGAACGAATAATACAAAATATTTTAATAATTTTTAATCTTATTTGCCAACCATCTAAGCACTTTGTTACTTGGCATGCTTTTCCCTTCGGATTTTACTACGAAATTTTTAGAAAAACAATACACCAAATTATTTTCAAAAGCGAAAATCTCAAAAACAAAATCTTTCAGAAAGACACCAATTTAAAATCACCATTGGAATTTAGACCATGAATACATAGGGAAGGAACATTTAATTTGTCAATCCCTATGAAGATAATGAATTTTCGATAAATGTTTTAAAAGACAATTTTATACTCCATAACCAAATTTTGAAAACAGATTTTTTGAAAAAAGAAAACAGAAGTAATAGAAAATATATTATTTGAGTTTTATAATGAAGAAGAACACACATACATACATACATAAAGAGAGAGTTCATTGGGAACAATATATATAAAGAGAGAGTAGTATGAATTTTGTGAAAAATTGAACTTAACATGTACGGAGTATTATTTTTCCAGTTCTTATAGTACAATTATTTATATAAATAAACTAAATACATTAAGTAAGAAAATTATAAAATGGTCCAAACTTGGTCAAGTGGGACAACCATATGGTGAAGCTTACGAATTAGGAAGACATCCCTTTAAGCCAACTTTTTTGATTTGGTTTTTTTTTTTTTTTTTTTTTTTTTTTTTTTTTTGATTAATCAATGGAATTCAGCCTATTGTTCACCCAAACCAAGTGGCCAAAAATCACAGAGAAACCAACATAACTTTTAATCTATAGTGAAATTGTACTAATTTAACTTGTAATGATCCACATTGCTACATGAACATATAATAATAGTAGCCATATAATGTGCTATTAACTAGGAGCTTGGGCCGTGAAGGATTGACAAGAAGCAATATAATGACATTGTTTGATAAAAGCAATATAATGGCCTTTCCTTTCAAAAAAAAAAAGCAATATAATGGCCTTAGGGCATCCCATTAAGGGGTTGTGCACAAGTTTTAAGAAATAAAAGATGAGTTGGAAGAAAGAGATTAAGGTCTTGCTATGGTCCGGCGGGTCAGGATCGTGTTGGGAGGTCCACTCCTCTCGCAGGATTAGTATGTTCCATTTTCAGAAACTAGATATCAGCGTGTTCAGTTAAATATGGAGATTTTGCAGAGATGGTGGGGTGTGGAGATTTTGCAGAGATGGTGGGGTGTGCAGGGACGGAGCCAAAGGGGGGGCAGCTGCCCCCCTCACCCCATATATAATTTTTGTATGTATATATGTATATATAGTACATGTGTTAGTATTAGTAAAATAAAATTATTTAATGTTAACATGAGTTAATTTAGATGAATTGGTTGAGCAAATGTTGAGCTATAATAATATAAAGGATAATATAAAGGATAAAGGATAAGGGTTCAAATCTTAATATTAACATAATTTTATAGTTGGCTTCAATAGTATTTTTCTGACTCATTCCCTATGGTTTCAACATAGTCACGTTTTTAATAGCTTTTTAATATTTAATACACACACATATATATAACATTCTTTTATATAAATAATGAGATGTGACCATGTGGTTTCAACACCGTCATGTTTTTAATAGCTTTTTAATATTTAATACACACATATATATAACATTCTTTTATATTAATAGTGAGATGTGTTTTTTTTTTAAATTATCTCTTTTGATTTAATTTTTCGTCTTTACTGAAAAAAATTTCTGAATCCGTCCCAATTTCTTCCCCCCCCCCCCCCCCCCAACCGAATTTATGGCTCCGTCCCTGGGGGTGTGGAGATTTTGCAGAGATGGTTGTTCCCATTATGGGGAAGAGAGCTGCGCCTCACGCGTGTGAGGCGCAACTCTAAGAGAAATGTATTTTTTTTCAGCTTTTGATTTTGGTTTTTTATTTTTCCTTTTCTTTTTTCTCTCTTTACCCATTTCTCTTTCATAATCACACTTAAAGAAACTCCTCAAAAAACTACACCAAAATCCTCACTATTGAGGATACTCTTATAATGGCTCATCATTTTTTTTTTAAAGTATAAGGGCGCTTTGAGGAAAGAACATTTTTTTTTCCAAAATGTCAAAGTGTAAACACTGCTAAGAGCCTAAGAGTAGTGTTTACATTCTTAGTGATTTGGAGCAAACCTCTGCTCCAAATAGATGAGTTACCAACCATGACTTTTGACGTTTTGACTTGACAGATCCGAGTATCCGACATTTACCAAACACCACCAATGACTAAAGTGAGCGCTTTAGAAGAATTATATTATTCTAGGCTTGCTAATTTATTTCTCCGGTGGCTGATTACTTTTTCTAGTGGGTCAAGAACTAACAGAACAAAATTTAATCATTTATGGTGGACCATGGTCCAAAAACATCATCGTTTTTTTTTAAGTAAAAAGAAATGGAAATGGCAACCATTACTAATCACGTGTTAATGATGCGATCAGAATAAAATGAAAATACAATATATCTAAAATGAAACTGAATAATAAGTCTCATATATTGAGGGTATATTGTTAAATGAAACGGTAGTTATATCAAAATGATATTTTAGTTGTGCTTTAATGAAACTATAGTATATCTAAAATGAAACTGAATAACATGTTTCATTAAATGTATATTGTCAAATGAAACTGTACTTGAATTAAAATGATACTTTAGTTGTGCTGTAATGAAACTACAGTATGTATAAAATGAAACTGAATAACACATCTCATATATTACTTTTATATTGTTAAATGAAATTGTATGTATATCAAAATGATACTTTAGTTATACTGTAATGAATCTACATTATATATAAAATGAAACCAAATAATAGGTTTCACATATTTGATTAAATATTGTTAAATAAAATCGTAGTTGAATTAGAATTATATTTTAGTGGTGTAATAAAACTATAGTATGTATAAATTGAAGCATGTGCTCCATCTCAACTAAAAGCCTAAGGTGATAGTTGGATTGCACATTAATGGCTATATGCTCAACACGCCCCCTCACGTGTGCGGTGGGTTCCAAGCAACACGTGGACCGTAGTCGCTTCGAACCCATGACCTGCGGTCTGGCTCTGATACCAAACTGAAGCATGTGCTCCATCTCAACTAACCTATGGTCTGGCTCTGATACCAAACTAAGGCATGTGCTCCATCTCAACTAAAAGCCTAAGCAGATAGTTGGATTGCACATTAATGGTTATATGCTCAACAATATAAAATAAAATTCAATAACAGGTCTCACATATTGAGTGTATAATGTCAAATAAAACTATAATTAAATCAAAATGATATTTTAATTGTGCTGTAGATTGAATACGCCATAAAAAAATTAGTTGATTGAAATGGCCAAACGTGTGTTGTTTCATTTCATTAAATGAAATGGTATCATTTTGAACCATGATCCACAATAAAATTTGCTGAATTTAATTTCATAGGCAAGGAATGGAGCGTTATGCTGTGCATCGGTATGCACCATGCATGGTGCATATGGATGCAAAAACGACGTCGTTTTGGCGTCTAACTTTAAAAAAAAATTCAGAATTGCATAACTACACATTCATAATTTCACTACACTTCCATAATTTCATAACTATACATCCAGAATTGCATAACTACACTTCCAGAATTGCATAACTACACATCCATAACTTCATAACTACACATCCATAATTGCATAACTATACTTTCAAAATTGCATAACTACACTTCCAGAATTTCATAACTAAAAAATCCAAAATAAATGAACTAAAAATAAATAACATAATGTTGTTGCTGAGAATCAAAACTGTTTTTTTTTTTTTTTTTTTTTTTTAGAGTAAGACGTACGTTTTATGCAAAACGACGTCGTTTTTTGCATCCGTAATGCACCATGCATGGTGCATACAGATGGACAACATAATTTGCCGCAAGGAATTATATTGCTACATGGATCGAGTTCCAAGTTACGGAGTATAATTTACCGTTAAAATTGAAGCATTTAACCAAACGGTCCAATATCAATCGTTATATCCTACACCACGGCGCACATAGCACTGTGCGCCGCGCGCCTCTCAAAACGACGTTGTTTTGGGGTAGTGTTGGAAGGCGCGGCAGGAAGTTGCTGAGATTATGTGTATTTGTTCACAACGTTATGTGTATTTATTCACAACGTTATGTGTATTGGTTCATACAGTTATGTATATTTTTTATACAATTATGTACATTCTTTTTATACAATTATGTACATCCGAATCAGAAAATTCGTGTGTATTATGTTAAGAGTTGATGTGTATTATGTTAAAAGTTTATGTTTATTATGTATTATGTTAGATTATGTGTATTATCTTTTAAAAAGAGTATGTATATTTTGTTATATAATTATGTACATTCATGTATAACATTATGTGTATTCTAGTATAACATTATGTACATTCTTGAACAGCGGATTATTTTTTTTAAGAAAAAACTACTGCCATTCACTGGGACGGGAAATTTCAAAAAAAAAATAATTAAAACGACGTCGTTTTGCATCTGGGCGCATAGTGCAACGCGCGCCGTGGCGTATGATATAAATTGCCGTCCAATATTTGTTCGGCCTTCTGGGCCGAAGAAAAAGTCCGTAATAAGAGAGCCATCGGTTCATTTAAAAGTTACTCGTAAAACGCAAAAATGATCCGAGAAATTCAAAGCATTTTGAAAAGAGTTTCGAGGCGGATTCAAAGGGAAGGATAGAATGTTGCAGTTTCCGGCATTCATGCTACAGTACCCTTGGTCTACTGAGACAATTCCGACGTCGTATCTTCTTCCTGCCCAGTGGCCCCATCCCCAGAGCGATGAGCTCCTCCTTGCCATGGAGGAGTCAGATTTTGAAGAAAAGGTTTATACTCTTAATCGCTATTTGTATTTTTAGCTTTTAGGTTTAAAAAATAGTACTACTGTATTTCGTTGTCTTTACACGTAGATTATTATTTCCGGAATTTGTGAATTGATTCTATGTTCCTGCTTTTGAAAACTTGGATTACAGTGATAGAACTTAAGAAATTTGAAAATTTGTTAGTTGCCTCACGTTTGAAGGAAATATGTATTAATTCTTCTTATTTCGTTTTTATTTGCACTGAAAATGAGAATTGATTGCGAAATTAAAATGATTAATTGGAAAATGGTTTTTGACTATTTGGTGAAATTTAAGATTTATGTATTATAATTATTTGAAGTATTACTTTTGCATCCTCTAGTTTCAATTTGACCAAATTTATTTTGTGACTGACAGAAGCAGAACTTCTCTACGTTTATTCCCACTATTAGGGTTTTGTTAAAGGAGTCCAATGTTGTCTGTTTTGTGAAAATCAAATGAGTAAATGTGAAAGTCTTATAAACAGCATTAGTCATTTAGTTTTCAAAAAATGGATATTGCTAGTTGGTGGGGATTACTAGCTTTTTGAAGTGGTTTTGATGTGGAATTACTTAGTATGTTGCTAGGTTATTGTAGACGTTTTGTTGGTTTGACTAATTCTTTTTGTTATACTTGGAGCTAACAATTAACTGAAACATGAAGTTGTTTTGTATGGGGAATACTTTGGATTTTGACTGCCAGTTTATGCAGCTATGTTATGCATTCATGCAAGCAAGTGAGTAAAAGTTAGCATCATGTATCATGTTACACTAATAATGGAGTTCGTTTTTACATATATTATAACTCTGAAAATAAGACTTCTATGCTGACTTTTATTCTTGATTATTGGTTTCTGAATTAACCCGAATACAGAAGAGAAAAAAGTTCGGATATTGGATATGATGGGTGTGTGGAGCTTTTGTTGAATTTTCCATGAGTTGGAGGGTGGGGTGGGTGGGGGTGCATGGACAGATAGGCTAGGATTGAAAGGAGAAGGTCAGTTTTAAAGTCTTGGTTGTGTGGTGGTAGGTGCATAACTGCATTGTGGTCAATTAGGTGAAGAATGAAAGAGCAAAATGGCGAGGGAGAGAGGCAAAGTAACAGCTTTGGTGGTGAGAAAGGGAAAGTGGCTGTAGATGGTAACACAGTGTAAGGACGTGGAGGGAGGAATGTGGGGTTTGGGAAGAGATGCTTTTGACAAGTCAAGAGAGTAAGACATAGAAGTTGAATCCTCTGGTTTCAAATAGGAAAAGAATGAGAAGGTTTTAGGAGACAATTTAATATATAAAGTGTTAATCTGATGGGTGCAATGAATGGATAGGCATACCATTCTTTGTTCATCAGTTAGTATCAACGGTTCTTTGACAAGTTGCTGTTCAAATTCATAGGCTAGTGGGATTTATCAGCACTAGGTAACTAGTGTTGTTGCCTAATCCTTGTACCTAAATTGGTTATAAATGCAAAATCTGAAGTTGCATGAGAAGCATTAGCATACTAGTAGGTAAAGCTACTTGTTGCCTCCTTATTTGGAATGTATGGACATTGATTTTTTATGTGGAGGCACATAGGAAAGACATATCTATTCAGTTTAGTATAATATAGTTGTAATGTTGTATCTTCATCTTTCTTTCCATCTTTATCTCCCTAGTCCCTAGTTTACCCACTTATTTCATGTTGTTCACTTTTCATCTCCTTGCTTAAGAGTTTTAGCCACCAAAAGAAAAAGAATTTTTATAATGTTTAAAAGTGTGCCAGAACTCGGAACCCACTGTTTCCCTCCCTAAGTATTAAAAAAAAAGTGTGTCAGAACTCGGAACCCACTGTTTCCCACCCTAAGTATCCAGTGGTTGGAAGGTTTTAAGGTGATCAGCATACTATTTTTTATTTTTTATTTTTTTGAAAGGTGCATACTATTTTTTTGGATACATAAATTTACACAATATTGACATTGCCCAACTCGGGCTATGAAGGAGTTTATGTTTCGAAGTTTGTTGCTCTTATTTGTTCATAGAGGCAAATGTGTTTTACAATAGAGTGTTGTTATTATCATCATCATCATCTTTGGTCTGGTCTTTTTCCTTTCATTTATGATGATTTATTTCATTTTATTTTATATATAATTGCAGTGCAGTGAGATCGGAAAGATTAACAGCAACTTAACTGTGATCGGGAAGACCAATGTAGTTGATAACGATAAAGAAGATTTTGACAATGAAGCCGAGGATGACGATGTTGATAATGGAGAAGAGTCTGAAGGTGATGACTTCGATCAGGAAACCGGTTGACTGCCATAAAACGTCGTAAGTTTCATCCAACGCAACTATGCTTTAGACTGCTCTGCTTCTTTGAGTTCTTTCCAACGCTTATGCACTCTCAGCTGACTTTGTAATTCTGCATTTGGTGCCAATACTTTATTGATTAAAAACCAAATCTTTGTATCATGTAACAATTACTTCAAAATTTTAAGTGACAATGGACATATTCGAGCTCTTGAATCAACACTCAGCTCGTTCTCAAATTATACCCAGGCCAATCGAGTATTAGAAATCATAAGAAATTCTGTCTCGATTACTCTTACTCTTAAGCAACTTTTATGTTGTGCAATGGCAGTTCATGAGTGTTGAAGAATAAGTCGATAAAATAAAATAAAATAAAATAAATGAAAGCAGGATTTGAATTTCTTAAAAAATAATCTTAAATGGTCAATAACGAAATGCAAATTGTGTGTGCTACACTTTCCTTAAAATTTATTCGCCACCTTTCAAGGGTACGTGCTAGGAGTGTACATTACTCGCTACCTTTTAAGGGTGCGTGCTAAGAGTGTACATTGTTGCATCAGTCTCGAGTCATGTTTTTAGTGAACTTTGTACAAAGTGAGCGCTTTGTAATTTTATATCAAAGTGTTGGCAACATTGTTTAGAAGGATGACAACATGAGAGAGCATATATGTTTATATAATTCGAACACAATAATACAAATAAAATAGATAATACAAATATCTCCCAAAAAAATAGATAATTTGGTAATTTCTCCTTCACACATGCTTTATAATTTATTCATGGGTAAGAAATTCCAATATCTCACTCGTTATGTTTGCCCTAAAAGACCTAATTGCTCATGCCATATAACTAGCAGATGTTTGTTGCCGGACTCATTCATTCCTATTCTTAGGACTCAGAAACAGCACTTTCAAGCAATCCCTCATGTTAGTCCATAGTTTCATACAAGCATCAAAACATTACAAAGTAGCACGATACACAAGATAAATTGAAATTGGCAGAAAATTTCTGAAATTTGACCTGGATTTCAGGACTTTCTGGGAAAAAACGGTAACTCATTTTGACACAAAATTTACCAAATAAGAAGTACATCGAGTCTAGATTATGAACAAAAATTTTCAGGCCAATCCAAGGTCTAGAAGTATTTTTCTCGAAAATTTTTCCAACGCGCCATACAGAAAAATAACTGGCAGCATACTGCCAAAACTTTATAGAATTTTTCTGGAACAACCAAAGCATATTTTTAACAAAATCTTTTTACAGACATTAAATACCACAAGTCTAGCTTATCCATAAAAAAATTCAAACCAAAATAAGTTCAAAAGGTATTTTTCACGAATTTAATTTTTAAGCTGCGCCAATCAGAATTTTTCAGGTATGCCTCAAATTTTATGCAAATAAATTTAACACTTAAGGGGTGCATTGTAACCAAGAACTTATAATTGAAACTAACCCAAAATTAGCCATGACTAATGCATTAGTGAATAATGGTTTCAATTATTCAGCTAGCTAGGACAGTCCTAGATCTTCCTCATAGAACATGTATGAAATATCATTCAAAATCTATCTTTGAAAATAGTGGTGCAGCAAAGAAGAATACAATATACTCGTAGTGTGATCTATTAAGAACATAATTCATTGCAAGTTCGTAAGCAAAAGAAGCATCTCAAATAGGTCAATGCTAAGGCAAATTCTTATCATACCATCATACATTATTTGCCTTTTTCACAAACAAATGCTTATTTTAGTTCTGAAAATCAATTAAACAATTCATTTTTTCCACCATGTCAAAAAACATAATTGGCTTATTATTTTACCTAAAAAGAATTGATAGATGTATACAGTAAAAGCAATAAAAACTTTAAACACAAAAAAGCTCATATATACCAAATTAGACTTACTTTTACACAAGTGACTCAAACATGACAATTTTAGTCTTTAAACAGATATTGCAATCTCAGTTGAAATAATCATATGTGATATGCCTTTAGACTTACATGTATATGTTATAGATTTTCATTTTGGCAACGATTATGATTTATAATGACAGATAACGCATTAAACATTAATCCACAACCTAATAGATCATGTATATATGATAGCTTTAACTTTCCGGTCATAGAGTTAATGGAGATTCAACCCAAAAAAGTTATTAAGAGCAAAGCATCATAAACATATGTGATTTAGGTATAATTTTTTTTTTTTAAAAAATAATTACTGATTTACCGTTCACTAGGGTGTATTGAGCGTGCTAATAACGTGTTGAATTGCAGGTTTGTCTGCAGGCCTCTAACTTGTGAAGAACAGTAATAAAGAATAATAATAGCAAGAAGAAGAAGAATAAAGAACAAAAAAAGTCAAGCACATTGTGCTCAGATGGCATGTAGTGATCTCTCTCATGTGAGAAGTCATGAGATTGAGCCTTAGTGGAAGCGTTGTTGACTCTGTGTGCTTCATTAACAAATTTGCTATGTTATTTTTTAATCTCACGCAGTGAACTGAGACAATACCAATTAAGATCCGTCATCTTCTTCTTCTTCTTCTTTTTTTTTTTTTTGAAGAGGTTGTTTTCGTTTGGACTTCCCATGTGAACGCGCTCACACACATATATATAAGTTTAGGATCCAAAAATTTGGAGACTCTATGTCCTTGACCCACATGGTCAGTATCAGTACTGTTCTATATTACCTTGGTAATATAAAATACTTTAAATCAAATGCTCCCTAAAAGTAAACGAACTATTTCAATAACAATTTATTTCAACAATCTTAGTTTTTAAAAAATAATTGTAATTAATCCAATTATGTAAACAAAAATCTCACAACCAATCACATCTAAAGCAACCATAATAGAATTATTGGAGTGAATTTTTTCCTTTGGGTGGGTAAGGGGTACAATGTTGTGCAACCATGTGCACTATGTATGGTGTACACGATTACAAAAACGGCGTCGTTTCGTTTTATTTTTTTAAAAAAATATTTTCAATTGTCATTAGTTACGTAAACATATGTTTATAATTTTATAATTTCACATTCTGAATGTATAGTTATGAAGTTATGGATGTATAGTTATGCAATTATGAATGTATAGTTATGAAGTTATGGAACTGTAGTTATGCAATTCTGAATGTATAGTTATGAAGTTATGAATGTGTAGTTATGCATGCAATTCTGAATGTATAGTTATGGATGTGTAGTTATGCAATTTTGAATGTATAGTTATATATGAAGTTATTAATGTATAGTTGCAATTCTGAATATATAGTTATGAAGTTATGGATGTGTAGTTATGCAATTCTGAATGTATAATTATGAAGTTATGGATGTGTAGTTATGCAATTTTGAATGTATAGTTATGAAGTTAATGAATTTATAATTATGAAGTTATGGATGTATAGTTCAAATTATGCACAATATAACGCCGTTAACGGTAATCAAAACTGATTTTTTTTTAAAAGTCGGACATCAAAACAATGTCGTTTTTGCAATCGTGTGTATCATGCATGATACACACGGTTTCACAGCATAACAACTCAAGAGGGGGAGGGAGAGAGCAGAGAAGAAAAATGTGGTTGCAGAAAATTTGATTTTTTTTTTTTTTTTTTTTTTGGTGAAACTACACTGAGAGTAAAGAAAAAAAAAAAAAAAACTTAATTAGTAGAAACGTGCACTACATGCACCTACTTAGAGTATATTTATTTTCTCTATTTTTCTTCTTATTTTATTTTCCTTTTTTTTTTTTTTTTTATCTTCATTCTCTCTTTTTATTGGTCAAAAAATTAACACTATTGAGAATGTTGTAATTGAGTCATTTTCTCGAGCCTCTATCTCAATATAACGTGTCACGTAGACTTTGATGCTTACCGTTGCTACCAAGCCAAACAAACCGTTTTTGCGCTTCCCAAGATTATATGCCTTGCCACGTGTCACTTCCCTCTCTCTCCCACGTTTCCTATAGCCTATATAGCTTTAACCAAAGTTTTTTCTTTTGCCTAAAAAAAAGAAATGAGGCTGTTTGTGTATTTGTTGGAGGGAAGAAACTTGGGCGTGAAGGATTCGTACGTGAAATTGCAGCTCGGGAAGTTCAAGTCCAAGACAAGGATTTTGAAGAACACCACAGACCCAGTGTGGAAGGAGGAGTTTGTATTCAGGGCCGGTGAGTTGGGGGAAGAACTGATTCTGTCTGTTTATGAGCATAATGGGGATTCCGGGTTGTTCAATGGGTCGGGGGATTTAGTGGGTCGAGTCAAGATTCCGATTTGGTCTGTTGTTGCAGAGGAGAATCAGAACTTGCCACCCACTTGGTTCTCCCTTCAAAGACCCAAGAATGGTAAATCCATTGACAGAGATGATGGTTAGTTAATTTTTTCCTCTTTCATTTTCTCTAGTTGGTGTATTGGGTTCTACCTGATGAATGAACATTTAGGTGAAGTGGGGGTGAAATTCAGTTTGATCATAGCGAAGGTTCACTTCACTAGGGGCTCACCATCTGCTAATCATATAGGGGGTGTTTGCAATTTGCTAAATAGTTGTTAGCTGTTAGCTGATTGGGTTAGTGAGGTTGAGTAGCTGATAACATTAGCGGATTGTAGAAAGATGTTTGGTAAATTAGTTGTTAGCCGATAGCTGATTACATGAAAACGACTTTTTTAAAAAGTCAATCGAGCTTTTGAATTTTAGCATTTTGGAGTAATAAGCTGTTACAAAAAGCTAATTAATCAAAATACTTATATGGAATGTTTAACCAAGTCAAACCCCTAATAGGGGTCAAATAAGCCAAACTTGGCTGATAAGCTAACTATGTTACCAAACAGTGTCATAATTTGTGTACTAGTTATGGTGATCAACTGTTTGATGTAGAATTAAGGTTTATGGAAGCCATGATGGAGAAAGTCTGGTTTGATGTATCTTGCTCTTATGGTATTGACATAAATGCATTAGATTTGATTATTCCTCCATATAGTTTATTCAGCTATATGTGTATCTTGGTCATAGTTCCTAAATTTAATCTCTGTAATTTATGCATATAATTAGCTGCTAAACTTTTCTACCAACCCAGGGAAAATTCTTCTTACACTTTCCTTGCATGGCAAGGGCCACGATCTATCCACTAATCATGCTTGTTTTGTACAACCAAGTGTTGGAAGCGAAACTTCTAAGGATGTGGATGCGATAAAAGTTTCTTCTCCCAAAAAAGTTTTGGAAGGGAAACAATTGATAAAGTCCATTGCTGGCCATTTAGAGAAGTTGTTTGATAAGAACGAGGAATCATCAAAAAGTAATGAAGAAGGATCAAAGAAAGATAATTCTTCTGAGTTATCCAGCATACCTTCAGATTATGAAGACAATGTACAGGAAACCACGAGGAGTCAAACTCAAAGCTTTTGTGAAGCAATTAAGCTATTGCAGTCTAGAACTGAAGGGAGAGAAATGCCAGAAAATCTGCAGGGGGGAATTCTTTTGGATCAGACATATGCTCTGCCACCAAAGGATTTTAATATGCTTCTTTTCGCTCCTGATTCACAGTTTAGGAGGGAGCTTGCGGAGTTGCAGGGTACTAAAGATGTTCAAGAGGGACCTTGGACTTGGAAATCGGATAACAAGTCATGTTTAACACGGGTGGTGACATACACAAAGGGAGCAACGAAATTGGTTAAGTCTGTTCAAGCCACCGAGGAGCAAACATACCTTAAAGGTGATGGAAAAGAGTTTGCTGTTCTGGTCGATGTTAGTACTCCAGATGTTCCATATGGGAGTACTTTCAAAGTTGAATTGCTATATAATATAATGCCTGGGCCAGGGCTACGTTCTGGAGAAGAGTCCACTCACCTTGTAATATCCTGGGCGGTTAAGTTTTGCAAAAGCACCATGATGAAGACAGTGATCGAGGGAGGAACTCAGCAGGGATTAAAGGACAGTTTTTCGGAGTTTTCAAGATTTCTTGCTCAACACTGTAAAGTAATAACCTCTGCTGAGGTCTTAGATAACGGTCATCTATTGGCGACTTTGCCAAGCGAACATCCTTCGGATTTAGAATTGGCAAGAGAGTACTTCTGCAATTTCACTGTAGTCTCCACCGCTTTTCTAGTTTTATATTTCTCTATACACATTTTATTATCCAGATCAACCCAGCTCCAAGGGTTAGAATTTCACGGTCTTGACTTGCCAGATAGTGTGGGTGAAATTATCACATGTGGAATCCTAGTTCTTCATTTGGAGCAGGTTTATCGCATGATTGCACATTTTGTAGAAGCTAGACTGCGAAGAGGAAGTGATCATGGAGTCAGAGCACATGGTGATGGATGGGTGCTCACCGTGGCTTTAATCGAGGGGACAAACTTAGCTTCTCTAGACCCAACGGGATTTCCAGATCCATTTGTGGTCTTTACCTGCAATGGGAAATCAAGAACGAGCTCTGTCCAGCTCCAAACTCTCGATCCTCAGTGGAATGGTGAGTACTTGTTTTTTATCGGTTTCTGTACTTTTTGCATGGGCTAGTTTAACTTCTCAGTTATTTCTTAGAGATACTGGAGTTTGAACCTGCAGAAGAACCACCCTCAATGTTGGATGTCGAAGTTTTCGATTTCGATGGCCCATTTGATCAAGCTCGCTCACTTGGGCACGCTGAAATCAATTTCTTGAAGCACACTTCGGCAGAATTGGCAGATTTGTGGCTTCCTCTTGGTGGTAAAATTGCTCAATCATCACAGTCAAAGCTGCACTTGAGGATATTCTTGAACAACAATAATGGAGTTGAGACAATCAGAGATAACTTGACAAAGATGGAAAAAGAAGTTGGAAAGAAGGTATAACTAAATCTGAACAGATTCATTGTTGTTTTTGTTGTTATTTCGATTATTAATGAATCATACAAGCAATAGAAAATGTTAAAGCTTCCAAGTTTTGTCATTGGCAGTTGAACCTCCGGTCACCACACAGGAATTCTACATTTCAAAAAACATTCGGATTGCCTCCTGAAGAATTTCTAATCAACGATTTCTCATGCTCGCTTAAACGAAAATTGCCACTGCAGGTGTGATCCAATGCTGATTTCTAGTTGGGTTTTATGCCAATTCGAATATATGACACCTTCTGTAATTGCAGGGGCGGATCTTTCTATCGACTAGAATAGTTGGGTTTTATGCCAATTTGTTTGGACACAAAACCAAGTTTTTCTTCCTTTGGGAAGATATTGAAGAGATTAATGTTCTTCCTCCATCCTTTTCAACCATGGGTAGCCCTTCTCTAGTCATAATTTTGCACAAAGATCGGGGCACTGATGCCAGAAATGGAGCGAAGTCTATAGATGAAGAAGGCAGGCTGCATTTCTGTTTTCATTCTTTTGTATCCTTCGGTGGTGCTAGCAGGTATTTTATTTCCTAATTATTTTATGAGATAAATGATGATTTTCTTTACTTTTTGCTTATGTCAAGGATATTATACTGATATGTGTTAACAGGACAATAATGGCCTTATGGAAAACGAGGGCATGTATACCTGACCAGAAAGCACAAATTGCAGAAGAGCAGCAGTACAAGGATGAGAATAATGTATTGCCTGAAGAAACTGGGTCCTATTTAATCGTTGAAGATGTAAGCATGTCCAAGGTTTATTCTGTTGATCTTCCCATGAATGTAAGTGCACTGTTTTCCGATCATTTCTCTATATATAAACATAAATGTGTAGTCCAACTATTAGTTTAGACTTTTTGTTGCGACGGAGCAACATGCTTCAATTTGGTATCAAAGCTAACCCCATTACCTATTTCGAATCTCCACACCGTGTCACCTGATAAAAAGAGATTATGGTCCACGTGTTGCTTAAAGTCTGGCCCGCACACGTGAGGGGCGTGTCCTGCGCCACCCGATAAAAAGAGACTATGGTCCACGTGTTGCTTGGATTGCTAAAAAATGATTTGGTGAAGTTTTTTGTCTGTAGAAGTGCTATACTGCTATGTATCCCTTGGGGTTGCAGTGTTATTTGATACTTCCTGCTTTTAATATCGGAATTTACTTGACTTTACAGCATAAATCATTAATGGAGATGTTTAATGGAGGAGACTTGGAACATAAAGTAATGAGCAAATCCGGTTGCCTCAATTACGTGACAAGTTCGTGGGAGCTTATTGAACCCGATGTTTATGAAAGACGCGTCTCTTACAAACTAAACCGCCTTATCTCAATATTTGGAGTTGAAGTTACTAGCACGCAGCGCAAATCTGTACATGCAAATGATGCCGGATGGATTCTGAACGAGATTATGGCCATTCATGGTGTCCCGTTTTCTGACCACTACCAAGTGTGTTTTCTTTCCCAGAAAATGAAAAACTTCTTTTATAGTCCTGTTTGGTAATTGGTAAATGGATTATTGATTCAAATAGGATAAAACGTGTATTCTTCCCCATTCAGGTCCAGCTTAGATACAAGGTGGAGAGCTGTTCTGCGGCTCGCAACTCTTGCAGGTGTGATGTTTATGTTGGTGTAATGTGGCTGAAGAACACGAAACTAGAGGACCGAATAACGAAGAACATTGTTCGAAAATTTAGTCAGCGAGTGAAGGAGATGATAGAGTTCGTTGGAAGAGAGGTTTTTCTGTCTAGCTAGAAGCATTATTGTTGCAAAATGTTGTCATTTTTATGGCATTCTTGCACAGCCTATTCTGGCCTTTCTTACACTGGAGATTAACCCACTTTTGTTTTGTTTTGCTTTTTAGTTACAAATGTTCAGGCTATTCTGGACTTTCTTACACAGGCAAATTATACCATGCGATCATGGTATACCTTGTATTGTAGATTTTGGTCAAAATAATTTTTAGATTATATCACATATTCAATATCTGCAGTTAATTGAGAATAAAGGTTAAATAGATCGTCGAAGTGTTCACAAAGTTATAATTGGGCCGTTGAACTTAAAAATTATAATTAGGTCTCTAAACAATGTAAAATTAAGTAATTAAACTAAAAGTGGTGGATCTTATACTAATTTTTGTCCACATTTTAGTGCCTAATTTTATAACGCTGATTACCTTTCTGTTTAAGACATGTTGAAATCTAAAATTTTAAGAATACTTTTGTCATTTTCAATTTAATCATGAATAAAGAGATTTAAACCTTAAGGTCGATTACAAGAAAATTACGAATTATAATTGATCTTAAGTCTTAACTTTATTTGAAATGAACGAAAATACCTTTAATAATTTCATATTTCGACATGTTTTAAACGAATAGATGATTAACATGATAGATGAAAATTAGTAGAAATTAAATATGTATATCAAAATCATCATTTTACTAATATTTATAGATCAAAATAGATATTTGCTCAATTTGTTGGGCATCCAATAACTACATTAATACTCTACTAGTGATTGAAAAAAAAAAAAAAAAAAGTGGAGCATCTCATCTGCAGGAATTTGGCTGGCGTCTTGGGATTGGTGGTTGGAGCATTCCGATCCGCACGGAGCGGACGTCGAGTATTAAATGCCTTCCACGTTGCGCATAGCCTTTCCACTACTAATCTACTAGAAAGGGAATATTTCATTTAACCCCTGGCCCTTGGTATTTGGTTAACATACAATAACACCTAACCTCTAGTTTATTCTTCTCTCAAAGATTAAATCCTCAACTTCAAAACTCTTCACATAGAGTATTTAGGGCTCGTTTGGTTCACGGAATCTTTGATTACCTTAGGTAATCCTATTACCTGGGATAAGTAATGTGAGATTTTGGGAATGTAAGATTACCTGATGTGTTTGGTTAAAGTTACAGGAATGTAACATTAACTTGTTTGGTTGAAGGGTATATTTTAGAGTATATTACATCAATTACTTAAATGCCCTCATATAAATTGAAAGGTGTAAATTGCAAGTCTTTTTTTTCATAATTCAAAATTTAACAAGATGCTTATAATAATAATAATAATAATAATAATAATAATAATAATAATAATAATTAATAATAATAATAATAATAATAATAATAATAAATGGAATGCTACTGTAAATATGCAATTCAATAATAATAATAATAATAATAATAATAAAAATAATAATAATAATGGAATGCTACTGGAAAGATGCAATTCAATAATTATGATTAATAATAATAATAATAATAATAATAATAATAATAATAATGATGGAATGCTACTGGAAAGATGCAATTCAATAATAATAATAATAATAATAATAATAATAATAATAATAATAATAAAAAAAGATGGAGCGTCTCTCGTCTGATGGAGTTTGATGAATCTTGTGAATAAAAGAAGAATAAACAAGGGCAATTTTGAAATATTGAAAAGTAATCTCACATTACCTAATAAAAATTCGGTAATCAGATTACCTCCAACATTACCATATTTCTGACGTGGCAGTAATGTTGTATTACCTTCCCTCGCAGATGACCTCAACCAAACATGGTAATCTAAGATTACCTTTCTCAGATTACTAGGGTAATCCAAGATTCCGTGAACCAAACGCCCCCTTAGAAATATGTAAATGTCAGTGTACAGAAAGAATATGTTTATTTTAGGCATAATCTTCACATTGTTACCACCAAAATTCAAACATTAATCTCTTCTTTTAAATACTGTCTATCGAACCATTGAGCTAAGCCTGTGCAGGGCGCCATGGCCCTGGGTTTATTCTCAAGAATACTATTCCATAAGAAATGCAATAGACAAGAAATAAAATGTGAATTATATTTTATTGTTTGGTTCGCTAGAATAATAAACTTTAGAAATGTTATTCCAGATTTCTAGTATTTTATTGGTTTAAGAAATAGAAATGAAATATGTGTTTAAAAGAAATAAACATCTCTATACAAAATATATAATATTATATTAATATAATCATATTTTATTGGTGCTAAGGACCTTGTGGTCTAGTGGCACCAATGTGTTTTTCTATGTAGGATGTTGTATAGATTCTTTGTGCGGTTGAAAAAGTAGGTATGAATAGATACTGCAGAAGAATAACATAATGCTACCCTCAACCATACACTATCTTTTTTTTGAAAGTCAACCATACACTATCTTATTTGTTTTTGTTTTTAATACATTAAATTTTCCGCTTACTTACGCTAAATTAATTCCAATAACATTAAAACACATTTTCTTTGTGAATATGTAGCACTACTCATAAATTAATTATACTTAAAATGATTTTCTTTTTTTCATGGATAGAGGAAGTAATTAACAGGAGAGTAACTAAGGTTTATACTTCATAAGTTTATTATCTAAAATAAATAATTTATATCTGTACATAACAATATTTATGAAGGGATGCTGTTGATATTTGAATCTATATTAACAATTGCAGAATTATTATGGGAAAAATGACAATTTGGCCCTCACTTATTCGCCAAATGATTTCAACAATCTTTACACCCTAAAATGTATTCTTGTTGCACTTCATAATTTAGGATGACTTAGGTTTTCCTTCTTTGAATTTGAGATGATTTAAGGGATTGGATAATGAAATTATGTGTTTGATATTATTTCAAATATTCATTTGATAGAAAATTTATCAGATCGAATGATCAAAATTGACAAAAGTTGACACTCAAAGGACAAAAATTAGTCAATTATATTTTAAACTATATTTTACGTCATTTATCAAGCACCTTGTGCTCAGATAACATGTAGTGACCTCTCCCATGTGGAAGGTCATGAGATCGAGCATCAGTGGAGGCGTTGTTGACTCTGTGTCCTTCGTTAGGGACTCTGTGTCCTTCATTAGGTTGAGATGTTGAGGAGTGGAGTCGTTGTTCACTCTGTGTCTTTCATTAGGTTGAGATGAGATGTTGAGGAGTGGAGGCGTTGTTGACTCTGTGTCCTTCATTAGATTGAGATATTGAGGCGTTGTTGACTCTGTGTCTTTCATTAGGTTGAGATGAGATGTTTAGGAGTGGAGGCGTTGTTGACTCTGTGTCCTTCATTAGGTTGAGATGATGAGGCGTTGTTGACTCTGTGTCCTAAAGTAAGAGTCAATAGCATTCAAAAAATATTATTTTACGCCATTTACATAAAATAACTACAAACTTGTTGTAGATACTTCTTTCAAAACTTTCATATAATGAAAATAACTTATCATTGTTTGTCACAATACTACAATAATAAATATTAGAGTTCATATAGTAAAACGCTTTAAATTATATGCAAATTTAGCATGACTTTTACTCATTTTATTACCAAAAATACTCATTAGTGAATCCAATTTTTATTTGAGTACTATTGACTATATTACAATGTAATATTTGTTCATATTTACTTTTTCAATCTATTGAAGCACAAAGAGTCGGTCTAACCTAAAAATGTAAGAGATTTTTTTTTGAGAGCCATAAAAATTATTTGGTACATAAATATGATATAAAAATAAAAAATTATTGAGAACCATAAAAGTTATTATAGGAAAAATAGAAAATTCTCAAATTTGATCGAGAAATACGGTAGTGAAATTCTAGTTGATAAGTAGAGATATAAAGTTTAGAGGTATGTACCCAAAAAAAAAAAAGAAGTTTAGAGGTCTATATGTAATTATTTAAATCAACAGTGGTTAAAGCGAAATATGGAATCTTCTGGCGTTGATATTTTACATTACATGCCCCTTCCGACTTCTGAAAAGCGATTTACACTTCCAACCGAAACCAGACGATCAGCGTTTCACGAAATCACTGCCGGAGAAATGGATCCAAACCCTAATAACTATCCGATTCTCTCCTTCGTAATGTCCAAAGTCCCGAGCATCGTCCCCCGACGCGCTGCCGGAGAGGATGAATTTGACGTCGAGCAACCGAAGCCGAGGTCGCCGCAGGCGCAGGAGCCTTATTTCGAGCTCACCGAGCGGATGCCCCACCTCACCGATCCGAAGGTTGCTGCTGCCATGCGGCTCGCCGTCGCCGACGTATCGCAGGCGCGATCTATGCTCAAATCCCTAGGCGAACAACCGGATCACGAGGCGGTGGACACTGCAAAGATGAAGCTCACGGGGATCGATGCTTCCCTGGCTAAGAAGCTGGAGGAGATTGTGCTGGCGCCGCGGCCGCCGGAGGTGGATCCGCAGGTGTGGAGGTCGAAGCAGGCGGAGAAGGAGGCCGAGTGCAGGAAGGAGGCGGAGAAGGAGAAGGAATTTCACAAGACGGTTATTGCGTTGGAGGACGCGCATAAGTCCTACGCTGTGCTGTTGAAAGAGGCGGAGAAAAGGTTGGAGAAAATTTACGCGGTGGCTCTCGCCGGAGGTGATGTGTCCGCCATAGCGCTGGAAGAATCGGGAGGTAAGGAGCTGGCGGTGAATGAGGAAGTTGTGGCGATTTTGCAGGAGGCATCAGGGAAAGCAATCGAGAAAGTTGATTTATCTGGCAGGCAATTGACGTTGCTGCCTGAAGCTTTTGGGAGAATTCGCTCCTTGGTTGTGCTAAAGTTGTCCAACAATCAGCTTGAGGTAATCTTCAGTTTGGAATTTCTTGTTGACAAAATTATTGCGACTTTATTTCTGATGTGTCTATAGCTCCTTGCAAGTTTTTATGACTTTAAGTTATCCATTGTTGAATTTATAGATATATTGTATTTTTGTAAGGCATGTTAAATTTCATTGATTTGACCAGATGAGTGCATTTTCAGCACATATATATGTTTGCATTTAGTTCATAGTGAAAATGTGGGGTCTATTCTATGCAATAGGCAGTAGCAGAAAATGTGGAAAGCTAATTCT